CATATTTTACGTTAGAACTCATCCCGTTTGAACCCGTTGGCATAAAGCCCCGCGCACTCAACCTCTTCGCGAAAAGTGTCCATTGTTCTAATCCTGTTTTGCACAGTTTTTCTGTTTAAGAATATGTCCCGAAATTCAGTTATGTTGTGAAATATTTTTGCTTGTAAACGTATTCTTAAAATGTGCAATACTTTCAGACAAGCTTCAACGAAATATATTTCTACTTGAACCGCTCTTAAAACGTTTCTTTCAAGATGGTCCCCAAAGTGTGTAACTACGAAATGGCACTGCGCGACAACGTTACCACGAACACGATGTTGGCAATTTTTCATATTTTACTTCGAAATAGTATTAGAAGGTACCACATTTTACCACTTAGGTTAGTGGCCCAGATGAGCACTTTTAAACACACTAATAATATTGATGGCAGTCTTCTGATTTTTTTTTTAGGCAAACAGCTAAAACCAACAATCGCTTGTTCGTGCTAACGGTTTCACGCTCTGTACAATAACAGGGAGCTTTCGTAGACCGTTTTCGACGTCACGCGACGCTCCTCCGCAACCCACTACGGTACTCACAACTCTACAGTCAAGGCTCAAGGCCATCGGCGCGCAGGCGCAGTAGCGGCTTCTTCGTTGCGGAGGGCTTAGCGAAAGGGGAAACACGGTCTACGAAAACTCCCCAATAAAGTCTTAGAGTAACGCAGGCAAGCACTTTCAGTAAGCAGAAATTAGCGTTCCAAGTTTTTATATCGCGACGCTATTTTTAGGTTACCCAAAGCGTTTGCGTACATTATTCTAAAACTTCCTTATAGTGAACGGGATATTTTTAAAAGTGATAAATCAGACAGGCTGACGGGCATATGATTGCGACTTCATTCTCTTACAACTTCAAACACAGAACCATCGCATACACAGGCAAAAATCATAAACCACAAAATGCTATCGCCTTGGTTGAGGAAGTCGAGCAGGAAAGTCGCGCCATTAGAAAGGCGACACTCCAATTGTGATAGTTTGCGGCGGTCACCTGGCCCGCACGGCACCACCATTTGCAAGCTGCTGCAGCGATATCCTTGTCAAGGCCTCATCCCGTTTGCAGGTCGATAAAGTGTAAATGTTCGGGTGAGCCATCTCTGACACATGGTTTATCTTACGGTACCATGTCTCCGAGGTTGTTTCGGGAGAGGGACAAGTGATGTGAACAAGGAGAACAGACACTGGACACTTAAACCCGAACGATGGCCGAAGCGAGAAGGTTGTTTCGGGAAAGGGCGAAATGGGAAAGGATGAAACGAGAAGGTCGTTTTGAGCTGGGTCAAAACAAGAAGGTACAAACGGGAAGGTTGTATTGGGAATGGGTCGAAACGGAAACCACCCGGCCAGACAGGTATGGCCGGGTCCGGGTGAGACTTTCCTCCTTTCCCGATATTGTTCGCGCGGTGCCCGCCAGCACGCAGTGTTGTCAACAGTAGGGTAATTACCTTACTTGTAGGGTATTTTAGGCATTTTTGGTACATTGTAGGGTTGTAGGGGCCGTCTGGCCATTTCCCCGCCAAAAGTAGGGTATTTTCAAATGGTGCGTCTTCAATGGTGAGAAGAATACAACCACTGAATACAACCAACAAAACACAGTGAAAAAACAACCGCATCTCCACGTGGTGAATGATGTTGATTGGGGCGAAACTCTTGTGGTACTTGTCTGCGTAGACGGTGAGCCACAGCATGCCCAGCCTTTCGTTCGTTTTCATCCATGTCACGCTGCGGTCAAATGCGTACATAACCACGTTCCATACTACACATTCTCTTTCTGACATGGGTGAAAACGAACGAAAGGCTGGGCATGCTGCGGCTCACCGTCTACGCAGACAAGCCCCACCAGAGCTTCGCCCCAATCAACATCATTCACCACGTGGAGATGCGGTTGTTTCTTTTTTGTTTTGTTTTTTTGCCTTACACGAGCACGGGAGCACGTGCTGCGAGCACGTGAGCTCACGAGCAGGAGCACGTGCACCCGACGGCGGACGGACATGCGAACATGGCTAGCCCCCAAGGAGCTTTGCCCCTAAAAAAGGCTGCCGTACAAGTTTTGCATAGCTCTGCAACCTGTGTGCTGCCACACCACGACATTATGCAAAATGAAAATGTCCAAGTTGCAAGACGTGCTAACCACACACCAAGTTGGAAGAGGTGGGAGTGTTGCAGAGGGAGTTTAGAGCCAGAAGAGGTATCTTCCCAGTGGACATGCTCTCGACAATTTTTCTCCGATGACTCTGGTTCATTTGGCGGTCCCCATTACACCTGCGAAACGCGTTGCACCGCAGGCGAAACCACCCCGAGCCCACCAGAACCGGCAGCCACCTGTTAAACTGGGCTTTTCTACGCTGACATAAGCTGCACATGCTGCAAATAAAGATAGCTGAAACTACCACTTGGATTAGCTTCCTTTTGGAATGAGCCACCTTGTCTGTCACAAAGTGCCAATTCCATGTGGCCCCGTTTTTAATTTGACGACAAATCGGCTAAACATGTTGGTTGGGGATGTCTACGCCCTCGCTACATCACTGTTGTGCTGATGCTACACTGCGCACGTGCAAATATGGTCTTCTAGAATAACGCAGGTATTTACAGTCGGGGACAAAAGTCTCCAGGACGTGCGAGCTGCGGCCGAAACGCATCGCTCTGCCATCTGCCGGCGGGTGGCCTTGATCACACAAAAGCGCATGCGCGTCCTACTCTGCCTGCAAACATGTCCGTTTTCCCGCTCTTCTGCGGCACAGTGCCTAACTCGGAATCGGGCGCGCGGTACCGCCTCGAAGATAGCGCTGGCGGCTGACGAGCGTCTGCTACACATTCCGAAACTCGAGATACCGCCTGGGGCATTTCGCCGCATTTCGCCGTGTCAGCGCACCTTGCTTTATAACCAGTTGAGCTTATCGCTCAGTTGAGATGCCGTGACCTCTTGCTTGATAGGTGCCATGTCAGTAAGCGCTATCTCCGAGGCGGTACCACGCGCCCGATTCCGAGTTAGGCACCGCGTCGCAGAAGACCGGGAAAGCGGACATGTTGGCAGGCACAGTAGGACGCGCATGCGCTTTTCTGTGATCTCGAAACCAGGCGACCCACCGGAAGATGGCAGAGCAATGCGTTTCAGTTGCAGCTCGCGTGTCCTGGAGACTTTTGTCACCGACTGTACGTGCATGCGTGCCCTGTCTCTTTGTACTGTATTAATATTACCCTGTATCATAATTCATGCAACAGTATTATTTGAACAAATATTTGCCTCGTAGGGTAAAATGTCAATAACAAACATTCGTAGGGTAATGTAGGGTTTTCTGGATGCTGGCGTGGGGTATTTTCGAAAAATAGGATGGCAACACTGCCAGCACGTGGTCACGAGCAGACGAGTTCAGGCTGCTCACTGATGGCTCTAAAGAGAGAACTATACCGCAACCCCGCGCCTACCTCGTCGTCTTCACTGTGCATGTGACCCGGAAGACGATGTACAAATTAAGAGGCGGCAAAAACCTGGATCTTTTTCATTTTTAGAGCGGAGCTCTTAGGCGTCCGTTTCCGGCGTCGCCGTAACCAAGGTCACCCCAAGTTCACGTGACCCCCCTTCCCCCCCCCCCCCCCCCCCCGAGGTCAGGTGACCCCCCCCCCCCCCCCCCCCCGGAGCATATTAAAGAATGAGGGGAGGAGGAGGAGTCTACCCTCCCCTCAGTACCCTTCCCTCCTCCTCCTCAAGAGCTGTGCTCCAATTCGGCGTTACAGGGAGTTGTAAACGACTTTCACTTTTTAAAAAAACTAGGGTATCCAGGCAAAATCTGCTTTCTGTAGTTCACTTCAGAAGTGCCAGGCATCAACTTCCACAATTATTTAAGCAAAGCCCTGAAATTGTTGCACAGCTCCTTTAGGTAGTGCTTTAAGTACAATGTACTTAAAGTAATTCCCAACACTGCCTGCTTCTAACACCCTGCAAGTCTCGTAACCTTGCCCAGATAATTAAACGTTTGCACATTGTTTTTATTAAAGCAGCTAAAAGTTAATAAAAGTTAATTCAGCCTTTAAAAGTACAGTGCGATTTAAAGATTTCAATTATTTCGAAGTCCAATAGAGAGAATTCACTGGCTACCATAGCCGAGTACTCAACTGGCGAGCGCATGATGACTGTGAGCTTCCAGAGTTCTTTTGAAACATGCATTCCACAACATTGAGATTGCCGGTCTTAGCAGCCTATGCGGAGAGCAAGTGTGTGCTTGTGGAGGGGTTGCGGTGACGTCAGAACGACGCGGAGTTCTAATTAATAATTAACAATCTGGCACAAATAATTAAAAATCTGGCAGAAACAAATAACTACAACTTAGCATCAAGAGAGCGAAACGACCACACACCGTAACGTCCGCACCAAATCGTCCGGTAATAAAATGTCCGGTACCAAAACGTCTTGTTCCCACCTGTGGCAGCGTAAACGCATCGCAACAGGTGAAGTCATTCACTCATTTGAATATGTAATGCGCCGTAACTTACCTCAACGTCTTGCAGCGTCACCGAATCCACTTATTTTGCACGGCAGCCATGGCAGGGTTCGACTAGGTTCGACAAAGCGTTGGTGTAAATGATGACGGAGTTGGTACAAAGGAGAGGCACAAAGAAAGGGCAGCCTCACAAGCTAGCCAACACAATATCCTCTCCCCTATTTCCGTGCGCTCGTCTGACTCGGCTGTTTGAGTGTTGTTTTGGTAACCTGCACCTGCTTGCGTATGTCAAGTGGCTACCACTTGACATACGCAAGCAGGCTGAGGAAAGACAATGGGTGAGCGTTGGGGATTTTTGCGAAGGGTCTATTTGTGACAAATGATCGACTGCTCGCTCAGTCACAGTGCACATCATATTTCGTGCTACTTTTATTTCTCACGCCATATTAAAAATTTACTGGCAAGAAACACTCTCCCCACTTGTAGCCCAAGGATTTATTTCTGTTCCAACAATCAGAAGACAGAATAATAATCACCCAACTTTTATTGAACACAAAGAAAAGCGACAAAGTAACGTGGTATAGCAAAGTGCCAGTGTGTAAAAATAGAACTTTGAGCATTTGCATGAGTCTGCAAAAATATTTCTTTCTACATTTTCACAAAAGTATGGCAGCCACAGGAACCTTGGTGAAGCTGAAAAGACACAAAGGTTTTGTTGGAGTTACAACTGTGCAAGGTTACGGCACATACGTTACAGCCTCACTGCTTCAGATTTGGTAAGCAAACAGATTTTCTACAAGTAAAGGGGAAAATGATGCTGGCGCGGCATTGCACATGAAGTGTCGAGAACAAATGGCACCATTTGAAAATCCTCAAGCCACATATTTGTTTTGTACTGTGAACAACAGTTAGAGAGACACTGACAGGGTATTTATGCTCGCAAAGGTTTTTATTTGTACATAACATACGAGAACCCAACTACACAGAACACAATTTGCAGCTCGAAATTAGTTTCCTCTCCGCATGAAAATCGCCGATCGAGAACTGGCCGGTTTGAGTCATGCTCACTCTCTTCTCCGTGGTCATGTGCCATTCTCTATGGTTTAGACACACACCAAATATAATAAAAGTCGTGGGTCATCAAAAGCACACACTCAATATTAAATTTTTTTACAAATATATGACGCCCATTTTTTGTGGCTTCTAAATCCTTGCAAGTAAGTTAATTGAAAAAAAAAAAGTTGCACAGAGAACAGGAAGCACTCTGTGCATTCTCTGCATAATTTTCGTGGCATCGTATTGCAGGCTCAGCAAAGCGGACTAAGCGATGGCGGCGGACGACGAGCATGGAACCTGTACTTCAGAGCTGTCGTTCGCAGTATCAGCGAATTTGTCTAGCTTCAAAAGAGAAATCGTTTACCCATCAAAACAACTAGGATTTATTCCATACAACACGCCCGACCACCAAGCTGATTCGCACGAAGACGTCGCCGAGTCAACGCCCCTTCTCCTGGCTGAAGACATTGCTCGTCTTACGAACACGAATTGGTGAGGGCTTAAAAAACGTCAAGCACAAAGTGCTTGACTTCTATGCTTTTTGTGCGAAGTGTGACATGCGCAGTTTCTGTCTGCTTCACACAAAAAAAATTTTAAAAAAATAAGAAATAAAAAAAAATGAGGCAGGAACTTCCGCCTCTGCATCCCAGTCCAGTTTCAGGTTTGAGCAGTTGGTTTTTTTTACTTAATTAAAATATATGTGATGCAGTAGCAAAATATTGATTTGACACCATATTATATCGCCTGGCAAAATAATTTCTAAAACTTTGGAGGGGTGTTTATGGCATTTCTAAGTTAGAGAGATTGACTGAAACTACCAATTTGAATTCTATACCCACGGGAAACATTTGGGAAAAGAGTGAAAGCCATTAAATAAAAAGCTTAAAAGGGATGAAAAAAGCAGTTTTTGGGTACACAGATAAAACGTTGCATCATTCAAAAGTCATCAGTGCAATGTCTTCAAAACTCAAGTACTTTTCAGTTGGTCCGATAGCTGTGGGTGGATAGATGTTGGATTCGATAGCTCTGGCATGCACTGAATGCGAGAGACTACAGTGCTTGCCACACTACCATACAATAACTGCAGCAGGCTACTAGAAAATAGAATTTTAAAACAACATACCGTAATATCCCGAGTCATCGCCCACCCCCCTAGCGCCTGAAATTCATTAAAAAAGTGGGGTGGGCCATGTCTCGGTGGGTGAGCACAAACACTTGAAAAAACGGGAAAAAACGCCTATTTTTCTTTGCGTACCTAGCGCTGATGCACAAGAGATACATCAAACTCAAAACTCGATTTAGTTTCATTGTTATATAAAAAAAAAATGCTCACGAAAGAATATTTTACTATATCGAAGTCCGTTGCTTGCATACGCGCTAGAAACACCGCCGATCTGCATATAGCGCGAACGTTTGTTCCGTGAAAGAATGTCACCACTATGTTCTCCTAGTTAGTAAAAAAAAAAAAGAAAGAAAAGTCTACAAGAAAATAGAAAAACCGACCAGGCGCAACGAGCGAGCGAGCGAGCGAGCGGACCAAAGAAGCGACCAAGAGCAATGCTGGGAAAGCGGGAAAGCCGGCGGTCGCGTTGGCAAATACTTTGGCGTCGGGCCAAGTCGGGCGCCTTGTCAATTGCAAGCTCTTGCGCAACTTTCTTGTTTAGTGCGTACATACGTGCGTCCGCGCACGGCGGGCTATCAATGCACGGTTGGGACGCTCTCCAAACGTCTGTGTGGGGCGTTCCAGCAAAGCTTTATTTACGCGTTGGCTTTGCCTAAAATATTGCACAACCGCGGTCGCGACGGGCGGGAAGAAGGAGCGGGTTCGCGGTGACCTTACTTCGGCGGAGACAGACTTTGACCTAACACTCCGCGGTTACATTAACAAACTCTTATTTTGTTATCTCCATCGTTTTCTTTTCGCACGGATACACGACCACTTTGGGGTCGCTCACGGAGGAAATGCGTAAACAAAAAGAAGTGTCTTTCCCTCCTTCGTTTTACTTTGTCACGGACGCCCTCCAACTGTAAGGTCCGCGGCCGCGTCATTCGGGTAGGATGAGTGTTCGCAGATCGCAGAGTCCGCGCTGGGGTATTTGAATGGGTGGGCGATGACTCGGTGTTTTTTCGGAAATCGATATTGGCCCAAAAAATGGGGTGGGCGATGGCTCGGGGATGGGCGATGACTCGGGATATTACGGTAGAAGTTATTTATAGAAAGATGCAGATATAGGAGCAATTAACCTCTACACAAAACATCATTGATTAACTTGCCACACTACCATACAATAACTGCAGCAGGCTACTAGAAAATAGAATTTTAAAACAACATAGAAGTTATTTATAGAAAGATGCAGATATAGGAGCAATTAACCTCTAAACAAAACATCATTGATCAACTTTTGCTTCGAATGACCTGCATTTCAAAAATATCCAAAGCACATTTCTTGGACGAAGCCATTCCACTTGACTGACTAAAACATTTTGAATATAAAGAACCGCAGCTATATATTGAGAAAGCAGCAAGATAAAACAAAACCATGGCCAATGTCATCCCCTAATTATTGCAAAGATGGATATCAGCCCCTTAATTGACACTACTGCACCATTTTAACATTTGGCATAACAGCAATCAAACGTAAGCTTGCTGTCAAAATCACTTTGAAACCATTTGCTCCCCACATTCAGACCTCTTTTTGCCCTTGCATCAATGTACAGAGACTAACAAAAAAAATTCCACTTTACTATACCCATGAAGAAAAAAACTCAAAAACGGTCGCAGATAGAAAACAGTGTATATCACTGAGAGAGGTTAACACTGGCTTACTCATTTAAAAAAAAAGTAGGATTTTCTACAGCAAAAATTAGTTACCTCAGCTTCCAGACTGTAAATTACTTGGGAGGGGAATACCAATCTGAAGAAAAAAGAAATTCAAGAGTCAAATGCAGTGAAAATTCAAGAGTCGAATGCAGTGAAGACGCCCCGAGCAAAACAATACGCAAACTGAACTGCAAATAAACTTTGTGCATGGCAGCACGCCAACTCGTTGGGGCTAACCCCCAACGAGTGGGCCAACCACGTGCAATATAACCGAACATAATCCCACTGGTAGCTGCAAAAAATGCAGACATGCCACCAGTCTTGAATTTCCAAATTCCTCAACTAAATCAGCAAAAGAAAAGCCTATGGCCATCAGTCACAATTATGTAATGGGTTTCGTGCCACGCCATAACTCGCAAGGTAAAATTGGTTTGTTGTGACAAAAAGAGACCTCCCCTTCGTATTTGAAGAATCCCTAATGCGTTGCGATTGCAGTGATTCAAACAAAAAAGAAGTTGAATCCTTTGCACACAGGCATCACATGAAGTGTGCAGAGATTTCTACCAATTTACTTCATACGGGCTACATTCTGCTCATATGCCTAATAATGTGGTGTGCAAGTCGTCGGCGAATTGCTACGACGTTCCAAAAAATAGTAGCTGATAAAAACTCCTTTTTAATGAGAACACTTCTTAAAAGGTCCCGCCCAATTGGAAGAAATTCATCTGGCCATTTCAACCTTCCACAATGCCACAAGATACGTGGAGAAAACCTAATCCAATTATGTGGTACGAAAATCTGGAACTTCCTGTCTATCTATCTTTGAAATATGCATAAATTTAGCCAGACACTAAAGCACCTACCTTCTGCTCTCTTAAATCACCTTCACCCTCATAACCATTCTCTTGGCTTTAGTAAATTTAGCATGGCTCCTATTCTTATAAAAGATGCCTTTTTCAGCTTTCCAGATTTGTTCTAAGAAAGCTTCGAAAGCTATAAGCTACACTAATGCAGTGCGCGCAGTTGAGTTGTACGGCCAGGGGGACATAATACAGGACTCTAATCGTCACCATAGGTCGGATAACTACCTAAAATTTGTTAATAATATATTTACTTAGTAAAATTAAACTATGGTTGAAATTAAAAACTTGGTGGGTAATTAAAACCACTAAGTGAATTTTCGAGAGCGGTGGTGCACCTCCCATGCCAAAGTTACCACTCATGCAATGGGCACAATGCTCGCGGGGGAAAAACGCAAATGATAAAAGACAAAAAAAACAAAATGTGCGGATGCATTTTCGCACTACTAGCCAGCGTTGCTCACACCTCGCATGTCTCATTTTAATGGACTCAAACTAGCCAACTGGCTATAGGTTCATCTGTTTTTTCGGTAACTAATAAAAACAATTGAATTGAATTGGCAATGTATACGTATGTGCGTCCTTATTGCTCAGGACAAACATGAAATAGGAACATCATTGTGCAACTGCTTGGCTTGGCTCGCTACAGACTTAAATGGCTTCTGCTGTATGTAGAACCTCACTGATATGTCTTCCTCAGGACTGCAGTGAAACAGTGTAAGATAAAAAAAAAAGCATAACCAATAAGACATTTGGGGCCTATAGAGCTGACAGACGGCAACTCTCACACAAAGTTTTCTTTACGGGGGCTATCACGGCTGTAGAGAACTCCCGCGTTTAATGAGACAGAGATTGACATTTTTTTTTAACTGCTTTTTAAAGTTGGTTATTTATCTATAAGCATAACCAACAAATGTCGACCTATGAAAGCGAACAAAATTTACGAGCCTAACTGTCTAACGCAAACGCTACCCCATGACAACTGCTGCTCGGAGCCCGATGGTCCAAAGCGGTGAAGCTTGAAGCACGTGCCAGTACGAAAAGGTGAAACTCAACATGCAGAAAGTGCACGATTAGAAACTCATTTCACGCGAAGTGCTACTAATGAAACCAGAAAAATCAAGCACAACAGAAGTGTGCACGTGTGTGCTTAAGAGAGAGACGAAAAGATAAATAGGCAATTGCAAAGGCTCTGAACCTTTCTAAAGCTAATCCAAGGTCATATGCACCCAGGGAAAAAGCCCAGTGCTGAGAGGCCAAAAGGCAAAAAGGCGCAGTAAAAGAAAGAGGGTACCCCAACAATGCGTCAGCCACGTCAGGTGAAGCATCTAGTGTTTAGGAACTGGAGAAGCAGAAGCAACAAGCGGGAAATTCATGCACATATCCCTACCCGGGGTTTGCAAACACAAGTCGAGAAAGTGCATCAACCAAGAAAGTATCCGTGAAGCTCCACATAATTACTACAAATTATTCTCGCCATTGAGCCTTTTCTTTGGGAATTAACTTCTGCTGGGGAGTAGGTACAACAGACAAAGTCCAGGCAAATATTTCGTATATGAAGCCTCCTTTGATCTCTGACGAAACCTCTTTCAGTTAAAGGACGACGTACTGAATTGTCTCGTGCCCGGAAGAATAGCGCTTCCTATAGTCGGTGACAGGACAAGAGCAAAGTGGAAGCTCCTCCCACCTCTTACCACTTTAGTAGAGCAATTGCTGGAGAGGAGGCAACATCCTCTCCATTGTTCACTCCGCTGAAGTGGAAAGGGGCGGAAGGAGCTTCTTCGTTCTTGACCTGTCACCGACTATAGGATCCTTCTTTCCATTCCCTCTTGCAGTCTTCTCTTCTCCTCACCCTACAGGGGCAGGGTCTCTGAGCTACTCCCCGCAGAAAGAAGGAGGGTCTCCCTCTTTCTTAAATGGAAAGAAGGAATTGAGGAAGTTTCTCTCTTTCTGCTTATTGGTTGAACGAAAGGCAGTCACAGCAAAAAGAGGATGAGCTCTCTGCTCCCTCGACGCAAACATTCGTGAGCTAAGCCTTCACGACTCCAATCGCTTCTGCCACCATCACGATATGTTTGGCCCTCGAATGAGCAGAAATAGGATCAGTCCATTAGTCTGGAAATTGCGTCATTGTTACGTCCAGGAGGCTCCCTCCTTTTACTGCGAACAGAGAAACTACCCCCACAGCTTGCTGCAGGTTTCCACCCCGCACGACAGAAGCCTGCGCTCGGCGCATGCAGAGAGTGCCGGCGCCCGCCCGGGGCATTCTGAATTTACCTGTGCCGTGCCGTGGTCGGGCGGGGGCTCTGAAGGTTTGGTGGATTGGCGCCGCTTTGCAGGGTTGGCTGGCGGTCGACAAGGACGCACAGAGCAACCCTCTGAAACAATGTGTCCATTGTACGACAGGAAACTCAGCCCAACTACTCTCGTACAATGTGGGGGACTCTGACATGCACTCAAATTGTCAAGAACTATACCAGCCCTATGGAAAGAAACACAAATGGTTATTGTGCATCGTCCAGAGAGGACTTGACGATGTGTCGGGCCTTTAAAGGGCCTCCGTGCGTCAGTTTCTTAACCCTTTGATGGTCGCGTTGTTTTCCCAGAAGATGTTACACACCGATAGGGTTTTGTTTCCAAAAGAGCACCATAGAAAAAGGGCTAATGTGCACATTTTCCCCCCTATTATCTAGCGGGATTACATACAGCGTTTGCAAGCTATTCGGGTTTAGAAGCATCAAATAGAAATACCAAAGGCGAAAAGTTGTCGCTTTTCTTCCATTCGATTCTATTATGGCGCATCCGCTTCCACGACATTCCGGCGGTTTCAGGTTCCGAACCAGAGGTACTTCACGGAGCTTCTCCGTCAGACGGTAAGCTCCGATACTTTGAATTTTATTACGAAAAGTGTTAAGTCTGAATCGGAAGAGCCGTTGCTCCAATTGCCACTACCGCCAGACTCGGAGCAGCCAACACACGAAGCAACCATCCGTTGGTAGCAATCAGTTCACCGAACAACATTTCATCGACAGATTGTCATCAACAGATCGTCTTATCGACACGCAATGTTTCATCGACGGGTTGTTTCATCGACATATCATTTCATTGACAGCTCAGATTAGCCTTTCAGGGCGCAGCTCTTAGGTGCCCGTTTCCGGCTTGAGCAGCGCCGCCGTCGGTGTAACTGCGTGCGTTGCAGTATAAAAATAATGAAAGCGGGTGTAACCGCGCGTCGCATTGTGAGAAAATATGCATGCTAAATTTAGCGGGAAGATTTTCACAAAGTTTTACCGCTAAATATGGAGAGAAAATTTTCACACTAAATTTAGCAGAAAAATTTCCCCGCTAAGTTTAAGGGAAACATTTCTCTGCTAAATTTATTGGAAAAATTCCCCCGCCAAATTTAGCCAAAAAAAAAAAAAACTCCGTTAAATTTAACAAAAACATTTTGCCGCAAGTGGAAAAAAAGTTGCCACTAAATTTAGCGTGAAATTTAGCGAAAATTTCCCACTAAATGAGAGGAGAGAAGAAAAGGAGGAGGGGAGGGGGAGGAGGGCCATGCCCTCCCCTTTGTACCCTCCCCTCCTCCTCAAAAGTTGCACTCTAATTCGGCATTACAGGGAATTGTAAAAGCCTTTCATTTTTCTGTAATAAGCAGCACGAGACTGTCACCGTGGAGCGGCGTGTATAGGTCAGTCAGGTGGGTTAACCCTTTTGTAATGAACTGCCGCAGACTGTCACCGCAAAGCAGTGTGAACGCAGGTGGGGAGGTGGGTTAGCGCATACTCGTGATACACATGTGACGAAATGCCCCTACAGCGCGCAATTTGCGTAACGAATGTCAATGAAACGTTTTTGTCGACGAAATGTGAAAAGCTGTCCACAACACGTAATTCTATGAAACGACTTTCGACGAAATGGTAGGGACCCACAGTCCATCACATAACATATGTGAGGAGCGTCTAATTTTAAAACCATAAACAGCCCCGACAAAGTGAAACACTGCTTAAACTTAATGTTTACAGTTTCCCGAAGACATTACATGTGGCAATGCGTCTCACGGTGCGTGCGGTTTTACATTTAGGTGGGCACCTTCGAACGCGTAATCGCCGCCATACGTGTTCGGCAACGGTTTTCAGAGGGTTAATGTATCGGTTCTCAAAGTGGGTTCCTAGGAACCCGTGTATTTACACAAATTTAGGTCAACCCATTTTTCAATTTTTGAAAATGGGTTGACCTATAATCGACTTACGATCGAACCAAAGTATTCCACCGCCGACGAAACAATCGCAATATCAAGAACACCTCGGCTAGATATGAGTCAGCCGGCTCTACCTGTAGCATTGCGCCCATACTGTGCACTCGTTTTACAAGTTTTCTTTTTAATTTGCACGAACGAGTATTATTGATAGCGATTTGCAAATCACCCCGAATATACGACGGTGCGCCCGACTTCCGGGGGTGGCGGTACTTAATGCAAGAGCCACTGAGGAACGGTTGCTGGAAGAGCCTCATTTCCCACTGCTGCTTTTCTCAAGATTCACAGTCGCACGTCATTTGATGGAGTGTAGAGATCATGCTGGAGTGCCAACTGTGTTTCACTGTATTGACATGCGTGATCTGGACAGTTTGGGTTTTCAATGCTTGTTTAAGGCCATTCTTCATTCAGAAGCAATCAACAACTGCGCCGCTGGACGCAAGTTCGACCTGTCGAAGCAAGTGATGCTCCAGTGGCGTCTGTAAAGATGCAGGATCTTGACTGCGACAAAAAACGAAGAGACTTTAGTGGGCCAAAGTCTGGATAGGTCTGGATGTCTTCCGGAGTTAGAGGTCAAGTTTGCAACGTACGTCGCAGCAGTGCGCAATCGGTCCCTACCCGTGATGTGCGACGCGATCACAGAGCAAGTGCGGAAGAAGTGGCCAATGCTGTTATTCGTGAAGTGCGAAATTTCGCTGGACGACGCCGACCACGTGCTTTAAAGGGACACTGACAGGGTATTTATGCTCGCCGAGGTTTTTAGTTGTACGTGACATATGAGAGCTCAACTACCCAGAACAGAATTTGCGGTTTGAAATTCGGTTTCTTTCCGCCCGAAAACCGCCGATCAAGAACTGGCCGGTTCGAGTCTCGCTCACTCTCTTTTTCGCGGTCACGGGCCGTTTTCTAAGGTATCGATGCGACCACCAAATCTAATCAAAGTCGTGGGTCACTGAAGGCACACACTCAATATTAAAAATAGAAAAAAATATGAGACCCATTTTTTGTGGCTTCTAAAAAGCTGCAAATACGTTGATTGAAAAAAAAAGTTCCACAGACAACCGGAAGCATTCTGTGCATTTGTCGTTTCGCGTATCGTGGGACTCGCGGGGACGGCGATGGCAGCGGACGACGGGCGTGGGACCTCTATTTCAGTACTGTCGTTTGCGGTACCGGCGAATTCTGTCTACCGTTAAAAGAGAAATTTGGGACTGATCAAAAGAATTGGTATTCATCCTGTACGACACGCCCGGCCACCAAGCCGATTTGCACGAAGACGTCGCCGAGCCGTCGCTCCCTTCTCGTGGCTGAAGACATCGCTCGCGCAAACGTCAAGCACAACGGGTCTACTTCGAGTTGAATATGCACGCGTACGATTTCTTTACTAGGTGGAAATGTCCCCAAAGCGTGGTGCTTCCCGACTTCGACCCGGGAGTGCTTTTGCTAGAGAAAAATCGACAGCAAACTTTCCAACTTACAGTTTACCGGCTGAATTATTACTAAGGAAAGAGATCCACGAGAAAAGAGATTCCCCAGTAGCTCAGTGGGAAAGACGTCCGGTTCACACGCGGTAGGACCGGGTTCGATCCCCCGTGAAAGTTTTTTCTTTCAAACATTTTCCGATGTTTACATATCTTTTTATTTTTTTTACAATCATCACTGAAGAAACAAACAAATGTTGCGGACAATACTTCGCTGAATTAAATGGTATGGGATTTCCGTTTTTACACCTGCGAACTCAATGTAATCACTTTCCACAAAATGCAAGGAGCATATAAATCAGGTAGCGTCCGCTTTCCGAGGTGCCCGTATATGTTCTACAGGAATTGCAGCCAGCCATTGGTCCCGATCCCGTTGATCTTTCGGAAACTCTGTCGCACAATGCCACTTTTTTTCGGATGCAGGACATGTGAGCCAGCTCTTCACGGAACATCTTGGGTGTATTCTTTTCGGAGCCGATCATGGAAATTCACCACGGGCACTTAATACTCATCTCCAACTCCTCAATGTACAAAACAACTCATCTTGGAGTACAGAACAACGAGCTGAACAAACGTAACTGCAAAAGAATCGCATGGCGAGCAGTTCCCGTACGCCGCATCGCACGCCGCATGTCGTGTCGTCTGCTACAGAGAGGAGAAACAAAAAAAAAAAAAAAAAACCGCACGGTCGGGTGTAGCCACGTGACTTCCGCCACTCACTCTCTTCTCTCCACTTCTCAGACCTCCGTCGGGTTGCGGTTTCGGTTTCGAGCAGTTGCGTCTTTTGCTTTTATTAAAAAAAATACGCTACTCTGTTGCAAAATATTAATTGGGTAGTCCTCCAACACCATAATGAAGCGCCTGGCAAAAAATAAAATTTTTTTTTTTGGGGGTGTCAGTGACCCTTTAAGAGTGCAACAGTGACGACGACGGAAACGACAGCTCCAGTGCGGACGAATCGTAGCCACAGACAAAGTAAAAACGACAGGGAGCAGCTTCACTTGTCCTGCCTCCTACGTAAGCTTCTTAGCTTCGATAACACTTGCGCATATTGCGCGCCTCGCAGGTGCATGCGCAGCCAAAGCATGCCAGAAGGCATAGAGACGCCCTGCCATTCTCACGTGTTTCACCATAAAATATGCCCCTTAAAAGTGGGGTTTTTTGCTGATGCTTTTTTGTTGACGTGCAATGTTGGGGGGGTCAATTTACAATCGTGTAAATACGGGCAAGTCCCCGGGGCTCGCGAATTCCCTCAACCCGTTCCGCCTTTAACTAAAGAGTTTTCCCAGTTTGACTACTATTTTGGTGGATCTGAGTTCCCCACCGATGCATAACTATGAGTAAAATGCTCGCCAATATGTGCACAAAGTTTGCAGGTTCTATTTCACCGGCGTCGAGAACGGCAGGGGAACCTCAGTGGGAATTTTTTGAGATCGGAAAGTTTGAGCAGCCCTTTGCTGAGGAACTGATTTATGCGGTTCCGACACAAAGACGTCATTTTCGCGGTCTCATAATGTTGCGAAAGCAACCAAAGTGGCCGTCCGCAATATTTTGTGGCTATTAAGTCTCGAGAGCGGAAGTGGAAGTAGCGAAAGCAGTAGACGTCGTTTCTCCGAATGTGCGAGTAAAGCTGAGAGCTGGGAGGTGTTGTACGTCGTCAGAAAGAGCATTCCGACACGAGTACACTGCATGATGCAGCGTGAGCGCACTGGCTGTTGTTCATATTTTACCCCGACGCAGTATGGTCGAGAGGTCGGTGCCAGGAATTAGCACTTTTTGAAATATTTTCGATAAATGCCTTTCAATCCGCTCCACCTCCAATAAGCCAGTAAAGCGGTAGCTGCTCGTCCAAGCTAATTATGCGCCTGTCTTGGGCTTTTACGGCGTTTACAAGGACAATCCCTTTGTCCATGCCAGCAACAGATCGTGCATCCTGCATATTTACGGCCCCTCACCCCACCAGTACATTCAAACGTGCGTTTGTGCATCGAGTATTGCATTAAGCAGCAATGCGGCGTTATTGTGGCGACTTTGTGTTGAAAATTTAAAGAATAAGAAGGCAGCCATTCAACCAGTTTACGCTATATGCTGCGGACCTCAACCCCCTATATGCGTAAGATATGTCCCAATTTTTTGCCATGTTCAAACAGATTTAGTTCTATATACAATGTTTCCAATTCCTGCCGACTCTGTTGGAACTGGGTTTGACTGAGTATATCACTTATAACAATTAATTCCCGGAGAATCGGTAATTTTTTGCCTCGAAGCTATGCAAATGATAAGCCACAAATAGCGACGAAATATTCTTGGCATATTGTACACAACGATTATAACTGAGTGGTTTGGTAAGTATTTTCTCCAATAGCAATCGACAAAAAATTTTACGAAAAATTAAAAAGCCACCAAGAAAATTATCTTGAGCTTGCTGCAGACCCCCGCTTACAGACAGCAAACGTATGTATATCAAATTTGCCTGCAGCCCTGTGCACGACCTGAAATGCTTATGACGCCTGAAAGCCGACCACATTATTCTCATCGGCATCAGCCGTCACATCTTAAAAAAATGCGGCCCCGAGAGCCTTGGTAGTTTCAGTGGAGGTAAAACGAAGCACATTTAAATATTTGCCTTAACGTAAAACAGAGGATACTGAAAAATTGGCCGTCTCTTTAGCATCTCCCAGAGGCATCCTAAATGCAGAGCATTCATAGGGTACAACCAAGAAGCCACTAAGGACATATTGCGAAGGATTTGTGAACATATAGAGCTGTCAGTGTCGTGACGTCACATATGAGTCTTGTGAGCGATGACATATAAGCGATGACATATTGCAGTTTTCAGTAACTTGCGTGGATGCTGCGACATGGACCTATGCCATGCCGCCATGTCACATTGTCCGCACAAGTTGCTGTAGAAAATTTCGCAAGGTGCTTGTTTTATAGCTCATATGTGTCCTGCTTGAGCCCGGCTGAGTGTGCTTCTCACTGAAAACTGGTGCACTGCGGAGAAGCAACGCCCGCGGAAGCAAGCTCTGCACTGCACGAGTGCTCGCAAAGAAGCGCACTCAATGGGGCCGCAAGAACAAGTATGAATTATACGAAAATGATGTTTGAATTAAGCGGCTTATGGATAGATGGATACAATATATATATATATATATACAGTATAGACCACTTACAACGTAACAGCTTATAGAGCAGGACCGGGTATAACGCGGCTTTTTTAAACCACCGGTTCGCCTCCCATAGAACTCCATGTATTTACATACCGCTTAAAATGCAGGCGCGCGAAGGGAAATACCGGTTATAGTGCGGTTCTTGGAACAGCACGCCGACTGAGCGGCGCAGCGAGCACGCTTCCCTGTGCGACACCAGATAACAGCGCGAGCCACTATGGCCGCAAGCGGCACTCGCGGGGCAAGGAGGTTGCTCGAAGAAGCGGGGAGAAGCGAAGAGAGAGGCTTCAGTTGCCAGAGCGACGGAGGGACGCACGCATGTGTCGTTCACGTGCGTGCGTCCCTCCGCTGCATTGGAAACAAACAACCGCAAAGACAAACCAATCGCAGGTCGAGGAGAAGTGTTCGCACGCGTTGCATGCCGGTTGCGGGCCGGCTGCTTCTATCCGCGAACATGGCGTTGGTTGTAATCGTCGACGTAGACGGCGTTAAAGTGAACTACGGCATGGTGGAAGCCCATTGGTCCGCGTAAAAGAGCTATCCTTGACTGAATTTTCGTTGTGTGTCACTATGATAACCCAGCACGTACTAGAAGGGAAGATCCACCTACTCGTGCGGCGATGTTGTAGCGGCACTCTCAAGACGGCAGAAACGCCCGTGTCGTCGTGTTTGTTTACTTCGACTACAGTGGTGCTTTCTAAGCATTTGTGTTTTTGAACATCGCCCGGATTTCTTATTTGGAGCATTTCATGCCTGTGCTCAACTTGAAGGTATTACTGGCGCGTACCGTATAAAGGGTGCGAATTTTTACGCGTTTTCATCACCGGAGAAAAGTGATTAGGGTTAGCAATTCTGAACGCTCGCAACGTCCGTCAGCAACCCGCGACACCGTTAAAAGGCTGCACCAGGCAAAAGTCACTCATTTCTTTCAAAATGTGTGACACACTTGAGAGAGAAGTGTACTAGTCTGATGAAATAAAGATGAATTTCCTCAGACTAAGCTTTATTTTTCATCTAACATAAAATAAATTCTTTTACAAAGGTAAGTTGTCTGATGGCATGTATTTTGGCCTGAAAAATTGTTTTGGTTATAGCGCGGTACCACTTATAGTGCAAATTTTCGCGACTCCCGCGACATACGTTATATGCGGTCAACACTGTATATATATATAAAATTATATATTGTGTATATATATATATGAAGAAAACCAAAAGTATGAAATAACAGTTAGAATTATTGAGAGCCTACTTTATGCATATAAAGGAGTGATCCCTTCGGGATAATTTATCCAAATTCATGCGATATGGACATATGGCATGAAAACTGCCATATATGTCCACATGTGGAATCAATTAGCTTATGTCATACATTTCACAAATGTTTCATGTGTGGCATTCCTGGTTATGATCAGTAGGCTTGTGTAGATAAAATCACCAAATATATGCTTTTTTTTGTGTAGCAATTCAATTGGCAAATCATAATTTTAGATTGCATCATATTTAGATGAATTTCTGATAATTAAAACAAACTTTGTGGCTTCCCAGAGTTTGAAATAATGAGAGTCTAGTGTAGCATATACACCCGTACATGCTACGCACTTCGAGTGCCTTTGAGACGACGTCGCAGCGTGACAGGGGACTGACATCATCAGGCTGCACCCGAGGACGCGAAAGCTCAGCAAGCCAGCCCTAAAAATGCCACACGTTTAAAACTCTATTCAATTGTACGAGCTCTCCCAAAACCATGCAGCCAACAAACGGGCGAACTGGCTCTTCAAGGGCAAGTCGTGCTAGGAGGAGAAAACTAACTTTATTGCATGTTACAGAGAACAAGGTGCGGAGTTGGGCTAGTTAATTAAACATTAATGAAGTGAAAAAAAAAAAAGCGCAAAAGACGGAAGACAAGTTGAAGTGCACACACACAACGCCAGATGCCCACATCCACGGCGCTCTTCATCAGGTAGTATAAAGCGTACCGTGTGTACACCTGATATTTGTTCTTAGAATGAGGCGATACTACCGCTAATCGGGCCAATGAACCTGGCATTCTTCCAGAGCCTTCCATACTTTTGAGCTCCTCTCCCTTAGTGCGCACAGGTGGTCGAGCTCCTTGCCTACCCGTCGGGTCACATGACCTCCCCGTTAACCAATCAGCGTAGAGCACCTCACTCCTCCTTTCCCCCCTGTCAACCAACCAGTGTTGAGCCTCGAGGCCGCATTTTTTTGGGGGGCTTCACTTTTATCTGGGCTTCACAAAACGCCAAACACCCAGCCAAAGAAAGTTTCACATTAAAGCAAACAACCCGATTACATAACCCCCCCCCCCCCCCTTCACCCCATCATGCCAACATAAGCCTACACAAGTGTGCATACTTCTTTAACTGTATTCAGTCTTTTGCGCCGTCTTTGCAGTTTGATATTACGAGGAAGTCTCTTGCGAGCCCCCGGGAGCGTCCCAAGCGCGGCACCCTCCCCGCACCGGGCCAGACAGCCATACTTACTCAGGGGTGCGTCCCCTGGCGGGCAGCACGGGGGTCGGCAACCTCCGCGGAGCAACAAGGAGAGGGGTGTTTACCCGCGTCATCCTCCTCCACCTCCGCTTGCTCTGGCTCCCGGGGGCGCTTGGGGGACCACGACTGCGGGGGAGGGGAGGGGGCCACGCCAGCCAAGGGGGGCCGGGCAGAGGCCACGGCTGCTGCAAAGCTCGTGGGGCGTGGGCTGCGCTCGACAGGAGGACCCTCCTTCTCGGGCGGCCTTTCTTCCTTCTCCGGCGGCCTCGCCTCTCCTGCGGAAGGGGCGAGGAGGCGTCGGCCGCGACGGTGACCAAAGTGCCCCCTTCGAGAGAGACTGCGGTTACGTGTCTATTCGGCTGAAGCGCTTCTTTGGCTCGGGGGACGTCTACTTCGAAGGTGATTATGGTCGTGTATCGATTCGGCTGAAGTTTTTCTTCAGCTAGTGGGACGTCTACTTCGAGAGTCATTAAGACTATGTTTCGATTCAAATGAAGTGCCCCTTCGGCTAGGGGAATGTCTAATTCGAGTGATTATGGTTAGGTGTCGATTTAGCTGAAGTGTGTCATTTATATCTGGAATGTCTAATACTCCCGTCAGACTGGCTAATTTAGTGTCACCTAAAGCGGGTGCACTTTGCCTCTAGTATCACTCGTGTGTGTCACTCACCGAACAACGCACGCGACATCGAGTGTGTTCAGTGAACTTACAACACTCGATCCAGGAGACCGAGTGTGTAGCCTAGATAGCAGCGTTTCAGGAGTAAAGAAAAAATTTAGTAGAAAACAATAAAGCTACATAAAATTAATTATTTTTTAGGGAAGTACTGTTAGATACACACTTGCTTTATGCCAAAAAAAAAAAGCAATATATTACGGAAAAGCAAATGGCTAACCTAGCTCTCAGCCTTTTCGACGTACACATTGCACTTGACATTTTTGTTTTTCAAAGACGAGACAAAGAGGTACCGCTTGAGCGCAATACCGTGAACTTCGCATTGTATTATGGAAGAAACTGCAGCATTGCGAATCCCAAGTCGCCCATGAACTGAGCAGGATACCTTTGCTGTGATCAGACTCTGGGGAGACCACCTGGAAGACCTCCGTAGCACGGAGGTCTTCTAGGTCTGATTATGCTATCTGCTTCATACTTGTCTCAGCTAGCGATAGCTCAATATATTCATCAAATTGACATAAAGCTTTCTAATTAAAGCAACAATGTCAGGTAACATGTTTTTATTAAGGATACGAAAAAGATTATTGAGAAATTTGTGCAAATATTTTAGTAATTTGCATGCTTTTTTTTTACTTTACTCATCGTCATTGACATCATTTCCGAGTGACACTAAATTTTGCCGTGTAGCACGAAAGCACTTGAAAGACATTCAATGCACCGATGTGCACTGTTTGAAGTGACACTAAATGAGTCCGTCTGATGGGGGTATAACTTCGAGGGTGATTACGGCTATGTATCAATTTGGGTGAGATGTGTCTGGCTCGAGGAACACCCACTTCAAACGTGATTACTGTAAAATCCCAAGAAATAACCCACCTAGCATCAAGAGAAAATTAAGTAAAATATGGAGTGGGCTAACTTTCGGTGTACAATCAAAAACAGTTTAAAAAATTGCTATTTTTAGGTTGTGTCCCTTCCAAGCTTGTTATGGTGGCGAGGGGCAACAAAGCAAAGATGACTGTACTTCCCAGTCAGCAACGTTTGCTTATATCCCGCCATAGCTAACTAGCCGCATTTACGCCGAGGCCATCATTGATCCCAACACTACTATTACTATGAGTGGGCTATCGTTTGGTGTTAAAAAAAAATATAGCAAATCAAGCCAAAAATAGGGGGTGGGCCATCTTTCGGGGGTGGGGCATCTCTCAGAATTTTATGGTATAGTTATGTATCAATTTGGCTAAGGGGTTCATGCCACTGCCAACAATCTCCTACCGAGTAGGAGTCTGGTTGCAATTACCGATTGAGCACAACCACATTTCTCAATAAAAAAAAATACTTGGAAGGAGAAGAATGCCACGCCAAGAATGAACACCAATGGAGTTCGCAAAAATCAATATCGTGCTAAAGCAACTTCGTGCTAATGGCATTCATGGGACTGGTAGTACCGTTGCTGTAGCGCTACACAGGTATATTTAGGAGCACGAATTTAACGACCTCGAAAATGAAGACGCACGAGTCACTTAGCACAAGGGATCCATACACAAAGTGTCCGCCACAACTATATTGTCAGGGATCCATCTTTGACCGTTGTATTTATTGCGTCCTCATTTGTGGTCCCTCGAATTTTGTCCGACGACATCTTGCAAGCATCGCGCCGTTGTTTTTTGCGATCGTGGCAATGGAACAGCCGGAAAGGTAGATATGGCCAACGCCTGCTCCCCTGTAGGTTGCTCTCCAGATTGACGGTTCATGGAGGTTTCATCGGTCAGGAAGGAGGACGCCTTGACAAAAGCAACACTGACATTTGCTCGTCTTTTAACACGAAATGTGTTGTATGTCTGGCACCTAACCATTTCCATTCCCCAATCGGATATGAAAATCGACAAGCCGGCTGCTAGCCGAACGCTGACGCAGCGCTCATCTCCTCGCCGATTCGACACCACTGCCAGCCAAACCTCTTCCTCGAGTGCCTCTGCGTTACTCCCGGCGGAGGAAAAACATTCGTGTTCATACATACAGTGACGCTCTGCTCTGTGAAACGAGCATGCCCTGGACTGCCCCAAAGAAAGAGCAAAAAAGGAGCGACAAAAAAGCAGAGAAAAAAAAAAAAGCCGACGCCATGTTAGACATTTTTACTTTGCTGCAATGGGTTGCGGTAGTTCTGAGAGTTAGATTGTCTTTTGCCGCGAGCTGGCGCCAGGGCTCTGCTCAGCGCTGCCGAGTTCCAATTGTTGTTTTCCACACACTCCACCCGCCTCGTCTCGCTCTCCAACATGCTCCGAGGAAGTCGCATTTACACTGTACACTGTGGGGGAGCCATTGGTTTGCTGCCCCCGAGAAGGCGTAAGCCGCGGGTGTTCCGGGCGAAGCCATCTGATTTTGAGCCTGGTCGCTCCGTATCGTGTCGGGGAGAATACGTCACCATGCTGGCCTACTCTCTCGCACTCCTCCGCGCATCTCCCGTTTTCGGAGACGAGGGAGATCGCACGGGAGAGATTCGGGCCTGCCCTCCGAGTGGAAGGCCGTCTGGTTCAGAGAGTCCTCGATTGGACTCCAGGCAATGGGTCGAGTCGCGGTGTACGAGCTCGTTCGACCGGCGATGATTCGACACTAGCGTACCCCTTTGGCTTTGACAGTCGGCGTCCCCTCCCCCTAGTGGTTGTCCGTCTCCCGAGAGCCTTGGCCCCGAACTCTTGCGACGACGGGTAGCGGCGTAAGCTCGGCCCACCGGCGATGACTCTGTTCGCAAATACCCCTTTGGCTGTCAGGTAGGCAGACGCATGCGGGCACACTGTCCATGGCTTGCTTGACCACAGTGTCTTGTTGGGGACCCTTGGTACTCAATAAACGCTGTTGGATACCGGGATCATCGTTGTTGGCATGGCATTGGTGAGCCCGGTGCGGCGACCGCCCTCACTGGTAGCCGTCGGCCGCACGGTGGGACGGGCATCGGATTTCCCCATTGAGCACCGGTGCCCGGACGTAAGAGGTACGTGATCTGCTTCACCTTTTCCCCACAACTGCCACCACAGGACATGGCATCAACGAGTAGAACACCCACAATAAGCGCTTGCACGCTTATTGTGGGTGACTCGGGGCCGATTTGCACCATCCAGTCTGCACGTAAGTGCAATCTCTCCAGAATGACACATTGCATCCTGTGTTACCGCTGCCTTTGCCACGCTGGTACGGCAAAGGGGGCAACATTTTTTGCGGGAACCTCTACGATTGGCATTTGGGATTGCAACATCCAACAGCACGAGACGCCAGCTTCAGTGACATAATTTGTTGCCACTTCGGGACCATTTTTCGTGTGTGTGGCAGTATAAACGAAGTCAACTCTGTGACGTCACGGCGTGGTGGTGGCGAGTCGGTCGCACTTCCGGTCTGGGGCTGTGGGCAGAAGTCCCCATGCCGGACGTGTATTCCTGCGTTGTTTTGAAAGGAACCAGACAAAAACCTGCCTTTTCGTCAAAATGCCGCGACTGGGGCCGTACCAAAAGTGCCAAGAAAGGTTTGAAGGTCAGTTTTCATGAGCTCGGTTCGTCCGAGAATCTGGATATGTGCCATGAAAAGGGAAATGCAAACGCCGTCGGACAACGATTGCTTGAGCAGGAAGCACTTTGGGTTGAATTCACGGATACTTTTGGTCACCAGATTTATTTGTTTTCTTCCACCATGAATGCCAGAAAACCGTCAAGTTGTGCGGACTACGTTCAGTGCATCTTTAAGTTCAAACGGCTGCCTGATCGTTCGAACTGTCGTCTGCTCTTTCAAACATTTCTGCTTGTCGTCTGCTCTCTTAGACGACGCCGGCCCGTAGACCAAACGTTGGCCCGGTACTTGCGATAGGAAGTAAGCGCAGGCTTCAAATGACTTAAATTTGAAGGTTGGTAAGCAGGCTCGATGTAAACAGTAGATACAAGGAGATGTTCATCATTGTTACCAGTGACCATCACCGACTTGTTATGCCTAACTCACTTGGTCCGATTCTGCTTGCGATTTTCAGTATCGACGTCGACCATCTCAGCTACGGTTCCCACTTTTGCAGCCCGAGCAGCGTCGCGACTGAAAATTGCGAGCGAACTCTCATCATGCGCATCAGGCTTTAGCGTACATAGTGCGGCATCCACGCGGAATGAATCGCCGCATGTCACAGTATTCACGCAAAGTTTTGCGGGGTAACGAGCCTCGGTAATTTCGCTAACGCCGCTCAAGATGGTCAGACATCGCCAGGAAGACGAATAATCAACAATTCGAACGCGAAAAAAGGCAGGGGGACTCACACCGACGCAGACAACATCGCATTTCAATGGTTTGTTTATGGGCGACGGCGAGCTGCTTGCCCACACCCCCATCGCGCATGCGCGGCGCCGGTGGCGTCCGCTAGGGGCGCTCTGGTTTGTTTGTAAACATGAGTTGGTGTATAGGACGTTAAACATGCCAGCTGAAGACTGAATTTAGGCACCATACTACGGTGCTTGAAACGAGTCTTTGACCGGTGTCTTTAACATGCTATCCTGCCCATGCACCGAAACTGGATCCAAAGTGGCAACAAGTTATGTCACCGAAGCCGGTGTGTCTTGCTATTGGATGTTGCGATCCCGGTGGTTGGTGGGAGAAACGCTGAAGAAAAGTCGCCCCATTGCCATATTAGTGTGCCAAAGGCAGTGATAGTAACGCAGGATGTGATGCGTTAGTGTGGTGAAACTGGGTACATGTGGAGATTGGATGGCACGAAGTGGCCCCGTGCCGTACAAGGTAAGCGCATAAGCACTCAGTGGTCGTCTTAATTGTGAATGCAATCTTCCACGGTTGCAGTGTGAGTGTGACTTTCTCGGACGCCGCTAGAGTGCAAGACGCAGTAGACGGCGCGTGGGGAGAACAGAACAATTTGAACGCGGTGACGCCGAGCAGAGGCCAAACTCAAGCTCGCGGCAAAAGGGAACCAAACGCTCGAAACTACCTCGACCTGTCTTGGTAAAAGGAGTCTGCTTTGTTTTTTCCCCTTTTTTTCCTTCGCTTTCTCTCGCATCCTTTCACTGGGAAAACCCGGAGCGCACTCGTTCCATGGCGCAGAGCACTGCAGTATGTCTCAACACTCAATGTTTTATCCCTGCCAAGAGTGACACGGAAGCGCTTGAGAAAGAGCTTCGGCCGGCACCGGTATCCAATCGTCGAGGAGACGAGCGCCGAGTCAACGTTCGGCTGGCAGTCAGCCTGTTGACTTCCGTCGCTGGCACCTAGCCGGATACCATTAGGTGCCGGCCATATAACACATTCCGCGGTAAAAGGGTGAGCAAACATGACACTTCCTGAACGGAATTCGAGGGACCCCTCTTGAGGATGTGGTAAACACACCAGTTGTAGACATGTACCGGCTGTACCGCAACTCTCCAAAACTCACGATTAGAGGCCTTCCCAGAGAGTGGCGGAAACTCCTCGAAGCTCGACGGCGCGTCGCCGCGACCCGCCCTGCGGGAGGTCGCCGCGTCCAGGGTGCCCTTGGCATGGTTGCCAACCCCGACGGGTGCCCCCCAGGCTCGGAGGGGAAGCGTGGGGTCCCTCTGCTGCTCCCTGAGGGAGGCGTGGAACGCCGCGAAGCTCTCCAGGATGGCCTCCGCGTGGTCCCTAGGGTCGCTCCCGGGGGGGCAGAACAGGGGCACGCGCTGGGACGTGTGCAGCGCAGACAGCGCACGCGCCCACGGGTTGTCACGTGCCTCGTCCACATTCGCAACCTGCACGAGAAACCGGTCGTCGACGCCTATGAAGCCTCTGGGCCTCCCTCGAAAATGCGTGGTCGGCAAAAGACGCTCGTTGTAAAACACCGAGCGAGCACTCACCAAAATGTTGGCAATTATCGCGAAAAAATCAGCAGTCCTGCGTTAACTCACGGTGCAGTCACAGCGATAGCTGCAACATGTCACTGTGAAGTCGTCGGCTCAATAGACCTTTCACTGAATTACCTAAGCATCAAAGAGAATGTTGGTAACGAAGGTACATGCGCTGCACATGCTCGCCTTCCCTATAGAAGAGATTTAAAGTAAATAACCAAAATAAAGAGTCCGTGGAATGCAGGTGCAAAGGGCCATTTGTTTTAGATTTAGATGCTTTCAAGCAGTTAGAACTGAAGACACAGAGCGTATACATACGTTCCTGGCATTCTTTATTGGTGCTCGGGTAATTCGGCGTCGTTCTTACAAGCATGCATTTCACAGTTTCCTCCGCGACGAGTGGCAAGACGCGTCAATGTAGCCGCCGGCAAGTCTTCTGGCGTCTCGTAACGAAGTGACGCCAGCACATGGCAACGCCAAGACACCCGTGTCTGCCACTTTGCACCATACTCTCATTGAGTTTCAGCGCGTTTCCTCTCGGGGCTGCTCAGATATCCACTAACGACGACGTAATGCATGGGCTCTTTTTCTAAGTGGTGTTGGATGGATGGACACGACTGAAACCTTTTAATTGGACGGCAGCTCGCACCACCTGTAGCCGGGGCCCTTTTAATTTCTACAATTAACTCCGATTAAATTTTAAAATAATTAAGAAGGACGACAAATTCCCTATCACAACGCAGCAGCAACTGTGGCCATCTAGAAGACACTGCTTGAGACTCATACTCACATTCGTTCCACATATATTGTATAATAAAGCAGATTGCCAATGCTGTGGCATATCTCTGGGGTAATGCGCTCAATTTGCACGAAACAAACCCAGGTTCGATTCCCGAGAGCAGCGGGTGGTCTTTTTCCGAAAAGTTGGCAATATCGCAACAGATGCCATACATTGCACTACGCCAACTACAACATCAACAGCACCAACTACTACGACTACAACGGACGTCATTTCCGGGGGGAAGAGCCCGTAGGTGCTGGACAGGGTTCCAGAGAGCGCCACCATCGGTTGATCATCAGCGCCACCGTGGCCAAATGAGGCAACACTGGGACGACTAAAATTGGCAGCACCGCTGGCGTACCCTCGCAAGATTACACTATTACGAACTCCCGAGCGTTGCATTTTCGCGCGCTACACAACCTACTGTTTTAAAAATGTATCAGACATTAAATATATTATTGTGCATGCATGTGTGGTTGGGTGGTTTTAGCATTAGGGAGTTTTAGTAGGTGCGCTCCTCGAAAGGTTGAGACAACCCAAAACAAACTAGCAGAACGAAATTGGACGTTCTGATATTACGGCCAAATATAAGTGAAAGCAAGTAGACAAGAGTTTTCTATTTTTTAACATTGTTTGGGCACACCTGAAAATTACAAAAGCGAAGACTTCGTCCAGCTTCCCTCCTCTACAAAAGCTGAACTAAAAGTGCCCCCCTTCCTCTCACCCTCACCCACCCTTTTTTTCCAAGTGAACTCTTCCTGCATGAATAGCTGACCTCCTTTTGGTGATCAGCTTGTTTCCAGTCCCATTGTCGTTGTGTTGAAGACGACTCTGGTGTCCGAGGAATGTGTTTTTCGTGCAAGCTGGCTGTAGTTAGGATGGTGTCGTACGCAGTTACTTGTCGCAAGCTGACGCTCGTTCTCGTCAATTAAATATGCTGTTCTCTTTTATATAGAACACAAGTAAATGTTGCATGAATAACCTTTTCTCGTGGGGTACGTACATCCTTTTTTTTACTTCTTGAGTAGTCCATTTTTTTGCTGCAGGGACGAAGTTAGAACCGCATAGACACAGGTCGAAAAAGAGCAAGCGTTTTCGGCGGCTACACGACCACGCTAAAGGAGCAAACGACAGTCTGCTCTGCAACCGACGAAAAGGAAAAAACGCTCACTTCGGTTTTCGGTAATTACAATCAAACGACCACAAAACGTTGTTCGATCAAAATCAGTCTGCGCAGCAGAGAACGGCGAATGTCAAAGGACTGATCTGACTCTAGAGTCATCGCATCGAATCCAAAGACAACACAGGGCTTTGAACACGTTAATTCTAAATATAGAGTCAAATACCATATTTACTTGCATAATGAACACACTTTTTTTTCTGAAAAACTGACACACATTTGGGGGGTGAGTTCATTACGCGGGGTAAAATTTTTGAAATTACACACTTTGCACGAATGTCATTTTAGGAGCCAATATGACATGGCCAGTGATGTGATTGGCCTAAGCCGTTTTGGAGCACCTTTCGGAGCAGCCAAAACAGTGTTTTGGAGCAGCAAAACTGCCTTTTGGAGCAGCCAATACAGTGTTTCGGAGCAGCAAAAGTGGCTTTTGGAGCAGACATTCTTAGAAAAAGAAAAATATTTGTTTTAAGTGCTGAAGAAATGAAGGGCACTTTGCTTGCCACAATAAACAAATTATGATCAAGCTAGACCACCTGGGAGTCTTTCAACATGTAACTGAAATGCCAATGACATGACACATTTTGCAATGCTTCAGTTAAATGATACGCATATATGTACCAACTTTAGATAAATAAGAACCAAACTGCACATATTAAAATTATTTTGAAAAAAGCAGCTTAGTAGTAAATATTACCGCAATAGGTTGACTAGTTATATAATATAATGGAAGCAGTCTCCGACTGATGAAACACGTAACTACTGCAGAGCAATGCGAAATTGTACACAAGGCAAAGGTGCTTTACGAGTCTTAGCGGATGCTTTTCTTTTCGCTTTTCGAAACTTTCTGCAAGGCTGCTCCAAGCCTCGCTTTGCCTTCGGAATGAATGTCAACTTTCAATGTCTCCAAAGTGACATTGAGACATCCCAGAAGTGTACAGCGCTGTAGGCGTTGCTGAGCGATTCCGAAAAACCGCTTGCCACCGTTTTACTGGTTCCCGACGTGCCAGATTTTCGTCAAAAGTAAGCAAACGAAAAAAATGGATTGCAAGCGTTTCGGCTGGTGCCTCTGTCGTGTAATCACATTAGCATGCACATGAGGGCAACTTTGGCAGGCTCGTAGTTGCACATGCTTTGTCTAGTGAGCGGAGACGGCTGTTCGACCGAAACCGAAACCATGTCGCTCCGCTTTTTTGCCCAACTGGTTCCCAAAACTGCATACAAAATGTTACTGTCCCGCATACGACAAAAAAGTCCAGCGGCACGTGCTTGCCAGGTGGGCAAACAGGGTACATGCTAAACACACACAAAAGACAGAACCTGAGCGCATCGATGCAAGACATCGTGAGCCAGGGTCAATAAGTTCTTGGAGCGCTTTATGCAATGGCTGAACTCAAGACAAACAAGCGTGCATACATTGCCTTCTTTGTTTTAGATCACTTCTCTTCACCAACTTTCATTCGCGGGAGATTTTTCACGTACTGAGCTCCCTCTCGAAGGAAAGCCTACCGAGAGAAACCTAGGTAGTCAATACAGCAAACCGAGGTAAAGGGGGATTCTTGTAGTACCGTATTTAAACAAGAACAGGAATGTTGATGAACATGCGGCAGTCCTTACATTTTAGTTTAAAAAGCGCCACATGTGCGGCAACACACGACGTTGCGTGACCACGGTGACTGGCAGGCAGAGACCAAATATAGTTTTCCCACGGCCGTTGTTTTCAGGAGCGAGTGCTTCAGCTCACAAAGTAACTCCGACCGCGCAAAAAGGCGGTTTTGTTTCACAGTACGACGGCACGGATGGCCTGGTACCCGCTGCGCTACCGTCGGAGCATCCACACATGCCCGCGTCTATATATCTTTGAAAAAATTTTAAAAAGACGCTAGACGAGACTTAGGAGACGACGAGCGCGAGAAACGAGAGACGGCGGGAAAAACCACACAAGGCCGAATGGACCATTGATGCAGGGTACTTTGTGTGAGGCGACCGCTTGCGCCACCTATACTTCGTCTCACCTTAGCATGGACTAACTGCGAAGGCTGTGCAAGCGCGAGCGGCTAGCCTTCACTGCAGCACTTGCTGCACGAGCGCTCGTCCAGCCGCCGAGGCTTCATCCAAAGGAACTAGCTCGCGCTTTCAGCACGCGCGGCTAACAATAGTCCATGCTAAGGTGAGACGAAGTATAGCTCGCGCATGCTCAATTACGGTACTCAGTTTAAATTCCGTTTTGAAAGGCGACCAAAATTCGTCCTTTGGCACAGACTTGGCGCAGATTACCCACATTTTGGCAAAATGTAGCAGGATGTAGCAGGGTTAGCCCCTTGGCGCAGTTTGGCACAATTGGCCCAGCAATCACATCACTGCTTGTCCCTCGAGTCGATCACCGAACTCTGAAAAATTCGCTCTACCACATCAACCATTTCAAAAGTGTTTTCAACCCTCTAAGCAGAAGAGGCAATCGCTGTCACACCAAAAACATCTCCAAGCAAATTGATGTGACGTGCCGTTTGCTCACGGAGATTCGGCGCGAAGCACAAGAACAGGAGGTAAGCACATGATCCACGAGGTTACAATACTCAAGGTTTAAAGGCAGAAAAGAAAGAAAGCAATGCATGATTTCGCCATGCGTGCCAAGGTTTGGTTCTCACCTCAACGTCTTGAAACCTGAAACAAAAACAAAAAAAACATGTCCATGAGATTTATTTAATTATCGCAATGCTCATAACGTTTCAATACTTGCAATGCTCTTTACTCCCTCTCAACCTCAGGAATATATGCATAAAGGTGGTGCTTTGGCACTTATGGGGATTAATGTCCATCCTCAATATTGCAACTAACAATGTGACTAAGAGTTGTTAAAAGCAACCTCGAAAAGCAAAACAAAAAGTAAGAGCATGCGAATGGTAAAATTTCAGCTGAATCAGATTTGAATACGTATCATGCAAAAAGTGGTCAAAATGTCTATCGGATCGAATATCAATACCAAACCCTTTATTTTAAATGCACATAAAACAAACAGGAACAAATTGCCAGTTTGATCCCTCGTTTAATTAGTGTTGGTAGTTGGCAGTAAGGTGGAAGTGGCCAGCTCAACACTGCAAATTGTTTCACACGAACAAAAGCTGCTCCACAGATCAGAGCTTCAAAATTTCTCGCAGTGAAATTTACTACGTTGTCCGCTGGAGAGAACATGCACACACTGCACACCTCTGTAGCCGAGATGGGAAAATACCTCAAAGCAATCTTCGCAGTCCCAAGAAAACCTTCAATTTTGTGCTCTTTCGTGTACCGTATTTTCTCACTCATAACCCACATCAATATTTAGTACCATATTTTCCGGTGGGTAAGACACATCGTTGTATAAGATGCACCCCCCCACTTCTTGCAAGTTTCTAAGAAAAAATTAGTATATAAGATGCACCTATATTCACGCACTTGCTGCGCAGCCTTCGTAACTTGAAAACTTGCAAAGCGATGTGTTTTCTTTTTTTTCTTTTCGGTTTCTTTACTTTCTTTTTTGTTTTTGTTATGGAACTCCAGTTTTGGGAGGTTGACTTGCATTTATGACACATCATTTGCATTGAGCTGTCATAATAGTTAAAAAAAACACCAATCAGCATCAACAGGAGTTCCTTCAAAGTTTTTCCAAAAAGAAAAAAAGAAATACATATAAGACGCACCGCCAAAAATTTTGGAAAGAAACTGTGTCTCATACATTAGAAAATATGGTATATAAAAAGGCAAAGAAGGGGTGCGGGTTATATGCGAATTTTGACGGGCAGTGCTGCTTCGAGGCAATGCGCGTGAAGTGGTAGGGATAGATTCCCCAGTGTCCCTCTTCTCCAGTCTCTCCTAGGGACTTTAGTGTCCCCACTTTCTCCTTTGCCTTTTTTTTTTTTCGGGTAGCCATCACTGCATTTATTTTGCAGGCTGAGCAACTGAGCCGAGCCATCGTCGAATAAATGGCAATGCACGAAATGCCGTTGCTGTCGAATGTGCGTTGTCGTCGACGACAACAATTTTCGCTGTTTCTGATCTTTTCGGGAAAGGGTCCGACTATCGTCAGATCTGTTGCCGAGGACATCGAAAACCGAGCAGCAGTTTGGAACTACAGCTGCTACGGCGTTGACAAATTGTGCGTGTGAGAATGAAAGGTGAGCCAGCAGATTGCAAGCCACGACCGAAGATCATTCCGCGGTTCGAAGACTGGTGCATACCCCAATCTTTAAAAAGCTCCCGCGAAGTTCATTGGGGAGAGAAAGGGTCGCAGTCAGCCCGTATCGACATAGATCTGGTGGGACCGCGACCTTTCCAGACGAGACGGTGCGAAGTTTCAAAAAAGCGTCATATCAGCAAGTGCCTCCACAGTACGGATTACAACGCTACCTGCAACACTGAAGTCACCTCAGAGAGCTGCAGTGACTGCAGCAATGAGTGTATTCAAAATGAAGGTATGGTTTCTAGCGAGATCTAGACATTGCTTTGCGTGGTCATTGCGGGCAATACGCAAGTTATGTTTTTGATTTTTCTGAGAGTAGTTTGTTGGGGGATGCAAGTTGTATGCAGCAGAGGGTAACAAGCGCGAAAATATGGTACTTCAAGAAGCCGGATTCTCAGGAGATTGGAGGCTCGCTGAAGCTCAGGTCTCCCAGACTGTCTGCAGGTTAGTACAACAACCAAACTCGTTTCACTGTAAGTCAACCGAAGATTCTTGCGAGTTTTGCAATAAACTGACAAACTTTTCCTTACTGTTCCTCACACACACAACAACCTTATTCGGGCAAGCTCGCAGCAGATCACCCTGCCCGTAGAACTCCGTATATCACCTCACAATAAACCGCGGCAGATGCTATGAGTCATCCCAGTCAATTCCGCACTGCAAACGGGTCGCGCGACAATGCACCATGCGCATTGCCACACCTCTCAAAGGTCGCACAATGCTGACACAGCACTGGATTGACTTCGATGGCTCGTAGTGTTTGCTGCGGTCCGCGGTAAGATGAAACGGAGCGTAGAAAGCAGCCCAAAAACGCACCTTTTGTCCTTGAGCTCTGGAATGTCCCTCTGCCACTCGAGCAATACCCTGTGTTCCATGGCATACACAGCCTTCACAGGCTGCAGAAAGCAACAAGAGCAAGAACACACCATGTCAGAAGTCAGCGAACTGACAAAACACGTGCCTAGACGCCGAGAAATCCTTTTCATTTGGGTTGCAAAAGCTTTTGTTTTGTGCGGCACATCTCAAAGAAGTCTTCGACTTTCTCGATTCCGACGATTACGATCTCTACTCCAATTTGTAAAAGTTGGATCCCTTCAAGCATGCGGGTCACTGAAGCTGGTACCATTTCGTCTGATCTTTTTCGAGAAATATTTCTACCAAAATGGCGAATGATTTATACAGGCGAAATTGCTTTACGAAACCTCCCTCAAAACTGGACGTTTTGCCGACAACAAAATCTGCACCAGAGTTAAAATAGCGGTTTTAAAACGCCAAACTGAACAAGAAGCATACAAGCCCATGCACTGTAATAACGACAATAATCGACGCAGGTTCATGCCAATAAATAAAACCACAAACAATTTCGATCATCAAGTATCCGTGCGCACAAAGGTAGAATCAAATGTCTCTCGCAGAAATCTGTTTGGGCACGAGGTAAACTTAATCTGTCAGTTTCCACTCCTTACTAGAATTCATCCCATGAACAGACAAAGCGTGCAACCTATGGAGGTAGGAAGTTTCTGGAGGCAACATGAGGCCACCAGAGGTGAAGGCAGAAGTGTGGAGGTACAGTGCGCCTCAAACTTAACGCCGCCACGAGGTGGTTCGGTTTCTTCACTTTTTGAGCTATTCCTGAACATAGCAGTCAAAATGGTTGGTGAAGATTTGCGTCCCCGATGAAAACTTAACCAGTGAAAGGTATTCCAGCAGCTGCAGCGATCATTTCATGTTTGGGTAGCATGCAATAAAATTTAATGGATCAATATTCGCGAAACCGAGTGGCGGCGTTAAGTTTGAGGGGCACTGTACATTCCCCCAGCAATGATCAAAACCAAGAGACGCTATTGGACAAAGAGGAGAGCCGACTAGGCGACTAAATCAGCTGTTGGCACCAAGTCGGCTCTCCTTTTCGTCCAATAGCGTCTCTTGGTTTTGGTCATCGTAGGGACGCGTCCTTCCATACTTCTGGCTTCACCTCTGGGGGCCTCATGTCGCGTCCAGAAGCTTCCTACCTCCATGGCGCGACCGACTGATATTCCTATCACAGCATTTGTCCGTGCTTGTGGGCATGTCAAGGAACTTCAACTAGTGTGGGATGCAGGCTGACCCTGGACTGCACGGAGGAGTACAGCTGGCGCCCTCTGCCGGTATCCCCCTGCCTTGCCCGGAAGCCGCCGTACCACTCGTCTCCCTCGTCCACGTCGTCGTACCTGCGCACACGAACATCGCCGTTTTGAAAAAGGCTTTCTGAATGCAACAGGATTTATAAGGCCGTCAAACCGGGGGATGGTGTGCATCTGTCCGTTGCGGCTCGGCGACACATCCACTCAATGGTTAAAACCAGGGGGAGAGGAGAGCATGTGCGGCGAGGGGGAAGGGGCGCTTTGAAAGACCTTATCGAGTATTACCCAAAACCTGTCTCGCCAAGTCTAGAACACGACGATCAAATGACGTTGTCGACGCAATTGGTGTCACGTGACGGCAATCACGTGACCGCATCACGTGATGTTAGGTCGTGCAATGTCACAATGCCATGTTCTGCATTAGAGTTGTCGTGTTGTGGAATTGGTGGTCACATTGTGGATTCGGAGACGTTTCGAGGTGTGACAGAATGACATGAAGTCACGGTGTCACATGACAGTGCATCACATGATGTGACGTCACGGTGTGCCACATGATGTAACGTTGTACGCACGACGTCACAGTATGCCACATGATGTGACATCCCATATGTGACGTTATGCAACATTGTGCCACATGATGTGACATCAAATGGCATGGCATCATACGAGTTTGCCACATAATGCAACATCACATGACGTCACATGACATGACACTGCACCATATAATGTAATATCACGTCTCGTGACGTCACTGACAGTGTGCCACACGACATCACAGACAGTGCACCACACGTGACGTCACATGACATCATAAGATGGAAGGTTGGGCAAATTGGCTATTCATGACTTCAAAGTAACAGCGCAAAAGATAACTCACAAGCTCAGACCACACGCACACCGTTAAAAAGGAACCTTTCACATTGCGCTGATGATCAAACCTGGTTTGTATTTTTGTCTTCTTCCTTTACACCAATAAAAAATGAAAAATAAATGTTATCACGCTTTGTTGTTTTCTTTCCGATGCTGAGTAAGACAACTTTATTGGTATTTAGCGGTACTTTCAAGTGGAGTATAGGTATAACAACTCCTTCTTGGAAATTAATATAGAAGGATTGCTAACACGTGTGTCACTCTGCTTCACAATACTTGCTGCTTCAATGATTTCTCTTGCGAGTGGGTAACAATTCTTGCTGATTACGGAGCCGTTTTTAAAGTTAGCTTAGTATCAGCAGTTGTAGCAGTGAATGTCTAGAAGTCCTGAATTGGCTACTCAGATCTTGTTGTTGAATTCTCTTAATCGGTCGTTAACAAATCTTCCAGTTTGACCTGTGTAAAGTTCGCCACATGAAAGGGGGAAGGAATAAACCACTCCTTCTCAGCAAGGGATGTAAGGGGTTTTATGCTTTTCTGTGCAGCCTGTATTGGTTTTTGGTGTAGCAATAACTTTTTTTTACATAAACCTGAGAGTTTGTGGGGAGCGGTAAAGACAACATCAATCTTTGCTCGTTTACAATCTTCTTGAGGTTATGGGATATGCTGAGAATGTAAGGTATAACTGCCGGTCTTTGATTTCTGTTTTTATCTCATGATTTGAGAGGTGTCTTTTCACCTTTTTTTATTTGTTTAAGAAGGCTTTCAGCGACTGAGGTTAACAGGTGCGATAGCAACCCGCTCTCTATATTCTGAATACTTGTGCTACAAAGCTTACTTGGACTGAATGCGGGTAGGACTTTAAAATAGAAGTTTTGAAGCACCGATTCACTATACTATCCCTTTTTACCAACTTAAAATGAGCCGAACCATAATTAAGGAGTGGTTTTTTCCCCCCTTGGCTCATATGACCAACATACATGGCAGGGCAAAGGAAACAGTCTAAGGTTCAGAAATCCTAAACATCCTTGCTCAGGAAGTGCATGTGTTATCTCTAACAGGTCTAAACATGTTTTAAAATAAGAGAGCATACTGGGCACAATGTTCGGGAAGTCTTGTTCGTTCATGTCTAGGAGTACTAAAAAGTACTTTACGTAGCGAAACATTTTTGCCCCTTTTGAGGAGCCTAGGCACTTTAGAAATAGTCTGTCGTGATGTGCGAGAAATAGATCACTGAGAATTGCCGCTATGCAAGATCGGATACAGAGTCCCTTTTTCTAAAATGTGTTTCTGTTTTAAGTCGCGAAGGTGCCCGTGTAAAGGAAGAAGAAAATACAAACCAGAGTTCACAGCGCAAGGTGACAGGTTCCTTTCTGACAGTGTGCGTGTGGTCTGAGTGCACGAGTTATCTATTGCACTGTTACCTTTAAATTACAAGACAGTGTACCACTTGATGTGACATCAAATGATGTCAGGTGAAACTGAGGCACATGATATGATATCGCATGGCACGACGTCGTGCGACAGTGCGCCACATGATGTGACATCACAGCAAGCGACATCGGGTGATACTGCACCACATGATGTGACATCACATGACGTGACATCATGACGTCAAGTGACCAGGTGACATCACAATGCCACATGGTGACCGTGCCAAAGGAGATGTAATGCCTTTGCATTACATTTCCTTTGGAAGCAGCCAAAGGGAAGCAGTGCAGTTTTTGGCACTTTTATATTTTTTGAACTATGAACCAAAGCCACATTGCTGGAAGTAGTAGCTTTTTGTTACAGTCACAAAGGTTGCATGCTAAGACAGAAGCTGGCACAGCACAGACTCGAAATTTGAGAGGCCAACTTTAAAAAAAAGTGAAGCTTCTGAAATTAAACTTCAGTCACAGTTTCTGTGGACCTTACATCGCTTGTGGAGAGTTGTTCGGCAGCCGCTTCAGAGTCCCCGGAGCATCCTGAAATGCAATGAACACAGCCTCAGGGTAAAATTTGGAAAGTGAACGTTAAGGGCGAACTGTCTAGGCCCGGCATAAACAGACTTACAGTAATATCTCGAGCCATCGGCCATCCCCAAGTCATCGCCACCCCACTCTTTGGGTGAATATCGATTTCCCCAAAAAACCGAGTGATCGCCCACCCCCAAAAATATACCCTAATGTGGACTCCGCAATCCGCAAAAGTTCATTCTACCTGAATGACGCAGCCGCGGACATTACAGTTGGAGGATGTCCGTGACAAAGTAAAACAAAGGAGGGAAAGACACTTCTCTTTGTTTATGCACTTCCTCCCCGACTTCCACAACCCTGAAGACATAGTACATGTGTGCTAAAAGGAAAAAAATGAATAACAAAATTAAAATTTGTTTTGCTTTAAAAAAGTTTGTTCGGACAAAAAAGACAAAGTTGGAAAGATAACACAAGCAGTAACCCATTCAAGGATCGCAAGGTCAGCGAACGCCCCATATCTTGGTATGTAACTACAGAGTGTAAGATCAGTCAGTCTCCACCAAAGCTGCAAACCTGCTCCTTCTCCCGGAACGTCGCGACTGCGGTTGGTAAGATTGTACAGCGTTTGAGACAAAGCCAATGGGTAAATAAAGATTTGATGGAACACCGCACACAGACGTTTGGGAGTGTCCCATCTCAAGCTCCGTGTTCGTGGAGCACGCCACGCAGCAACGCGGCCTCAACCCGCCTTGATAGCATGCCGCGCACGGATGCACGCATGTGCGCACCAAACAAGAAAATTGTGCAAGAGCCTGCTCCTTGCGATTAGAAAGGCGTCCGACTCGGCCCAGTGCCAAAGTATCTGCCAACGCGAACGCCGGCTTTCTGGTTTCTTCAGCATCGCTCTTCGTCGCTCCTTTCATCTGCTCGCTCGCTCACTGCGCCTAAGTGGTATTTCCATTTTCTTCATTAATTTTTTTTTTTTTTTATTGATGAAGAGAATGTGGGGGTGTTAGGAATATGCTTTCACAGAACAAACATTCGAGATGTATGCCAATCGGCGGTGTTCGTTGTGCGTATGCCAGCAACAGACTTTGCAATAGTAAAACATCTTTTCATGAGCATTTCTTGCAAAAAACAATGAAACTAATTCGAGTTTCAAGTTTAATGTATCTCTTTTGCAGCCACGCTGGATTTGTACAGAAAAACACGAGTTTTTTAGCTTTTTCTACACTTTTTGTGATTACCCACCGAGACATGGCCCACCAGTTTTTTTTATGCATTTCGGGCGGCAGGGTGGTGGGTGACAACTCGGGATATTACGGTATATGCAGCAAGGAACGATGACATGGACAGCAATACACAAAGGAAAGAAATTAAGCTACCATAAAATACCGGGCAAGTGCCCACTCAAACTTTGGAGATAATGACAAAAAAATGGGGGATGGGCGCTTGTCTGGCCATCAATTTTATATATAAATGTACTGTGCACATTTTCTCAGATCTTACAAATTTGGTAATGGGCGCTTAATGTGGAATGGGCGGATGCGCAGTATTCTATGGTAGTCTTTTGATCTATTGTCGAAATGCACATAAACTGTCCAAAAGTATGCAGAATGCATTAATGACACGTATGTGTAAATATGGGCAGCATTGCAGTGTGGCGTCGCATGAGATTGGTGCGAAGCCGTGATGTCATATGACATCACCTTATATGACATGACCTCGCATAGCAAACGCAGCAGCTTTAAACGGACACTGACACCCCCCAAAAAAAATTTTTTAATTTTTTGTTAGGCAATTTGTTATGGTATCAGAAGACTATCCAATCAAAATTACACGACTACACTTAGGACTGCTTACATGTAAGAAGGCGAAAGCCAGTCAAGGACAACATCAAGGACGACGCCTAGAGGACGACGCCTAGGAGTTTACTTTGATTTTTCTTAATTCTCTTTGTCATCCTTCCTAATTTCATTGCCTCTGATTAGCCGAGCGGTCACGTAAACCTTTTGGCACCTTCCGTGTCGCTAACGTGTTTTCGCTCAAAAACCTTGAAGGCCGACTGACCGATGAGACATATAATATTATTTTGCTGCAGTGTCTCATATATTTTTTATAAAAGTAAAAAAATGCAGCTGCTTGAGACCGAAACTGAACTCTGAGGAGGCAGAAGAAATAGAGAGGAAGAGAGTGCTGCCAAAAGTCAGGTGGCTGTGTAACTGTTTTTTTTTTTTTTTTTCAATCAATGTATACAGTCCCCGACCAATTTTTTGGACTTCGCAAGGACCGAAAAAACGTCCAAATAATAGAGCAGTCTGAAAAATCAGCAGATTAAAAAACTTGATGTTATTATGTGTTAGCAGGCTTTAAAAAAAAGTGAAAGCCGTTTACAACTCCCTGTAACGCCAAATTGGAGCGCAGCTCTTGAGGTGGGAAGGGTACTGAGGGGAGGGTAGACCCCTCCTCCTCCTCTTCCTCCTTTAATGTGCTCCAGGGGGGTCACCTGACCCCGGGGGGAGGGGGTCACGTTACTTCAGGGGGAGGGGAGGTCACATGACCTTGGGAAGGTCACCCCAAGGTCACGTGACCTTGAGGTGACCTTGGGGGAAATTGGGAGGGGTCACGTGACCTTGGGGATGCGTGACCTTGGGGGTCACATGACCTTGGGGTGACCTTGGTGACGCCGCTCACGCTGGAAACGGGCGCCTAAGAGCTGCGCTCTAAAAGCCGTAAATAGTGTCTTGCTTCAGGTTATGCCTGCGTGCCTTGTTTTAGGTTATGCCTCGTTTGCGTTCATAAACTTTCTGTTAGCTTGAGAATTGTTGCCTTCTTTTCTAGTGTTATGGTCCAGTACTTTCTGCACTTCTCTGCAACAGATCGCAGTGGCGGAAGAACAGGTGGGGCAATGACATCCAAGCCAGCGTAGACCGAAAATATGATTCACCGAGACGAGATGAGAGGCGCAAGTCAATGACTTCAATGGCGAAGGAACAAAGCAAAATGGAAACAACAGTGATGATAGTAATGACGTGCAGCTAGAAAAAAAAAAGTCGTACAGCATCACCTACCGGTAGGACTCAGGAGTACCCAAGTAGCGCTGCCAAACCAAGCCAATCCACTTGCAGCCAACATAAAATTCAAAATGGCCGCTTCTCGGTGGTGTTTCCCGCTGATCACTCGCGGCAATTTTGTCTGAATGATCGCAATTTCGGACTTCAAGCAGTTCAAAACATTGGTCGTGAATATGCACTATTTCTATTGGGTAAGCCACGATCCCTCCTTTAGCTCCAAAATATTGAACAAGTCCGAATTATCGGAGTTCGAAAAATCGGTCGGCGACTGTATTTGCAATTTTTTTAGAGGCCACAAAAAAATGGGTATTTTTTTTTTTTTCTATTTTTAATCTTGAGTGTGTGCCTTCGATGACCCACAACTTTGATTATTTTTTTGGTGGTTCTGTCTACACCATAGAAAACGGCACGTGACCACGAAGAAGAGAGTGAGCGCGACTCAAACCGGTCAGCTCTTGATTGGCGGTTTTCAGGCGGAAAGAAAACAAATTTTGAGCCGCAAATTGTCTTCTGGGTAGTTGGGCTCTCGTATGTCATGTACAAATAGAAACCTTGGCGAGCAAAAATACCCTGTCAGGGTCCCGTTAAAGGGATGCAGAACCAAAATTTGGATTCCACAAAACACGGCTGTAAAAGTGTGCAACGGGATGCTACAAACACCAAAATATCACTCATACAGCAATATCCCGAACAGAGGACAGGGGAGGCGCATTTGACAGATATGTTTAAGTCTTGTTTCTCAGAAAAGGAGAGGGAACGGCCTTGCGTCTTCTCCGCCTCGAGGGGGCAAAGCGAAGAGAGGAGGAAATAAGATATCTTGACGTCACGCTGCTCATCGGCCTTGTTCAATCTCGACCTCTTTTTCCAAAAATATGGCCATCCATTCGAGATAGTATCGCCTTACGAGTAGTGTTGTAGGGATTGTAGCGTCCCGCCTACAGCTCCTGCATTGTTTTCTAAAATCCAAATTTTGGTTCAACATCTCTTTAAGGACCATTCTTGCTTCTATGTCTAAGCTACTTTCCTTACATACTGGTGAATGTTCATTTTATAGAGCGTGTAATTGCACTCCACTTCTAGTTATGCTTACGCTGAAGAGACTGCTATCGATTTAACAGATATTAGCCAACATCAGCTAAACAAAAAACAAATGTTTGTCCTAAAACTACTACGGATATTCGAGCCTAGCAATAACAACAATGAAACTCGGGTTTTAACTATCGCAAACATTACAGTGAAGCAGAACTCACACAGTGCTATAGAAATATTTTCAGCAAGTAGTATTGTTGAAGTGACCGAGTGTCTTATCTCTCTGCTTCGTCGTACTTTAATATATGTATAATTTTGTTCTTTTAGTACTTTTTTGCCATATGCATACCATTTATAAGGCCTAGAGTTGCTGAAATAACCCGAGTGCCTGATGTGTTTGCCTCGTCATGCTTTTGCATGATTGTATCATTTTGTTTTTCTAATGCTTTTTTGCCATATGTGCACCATTTATGAAGCTTAGTACCCTTTATAAAAACCATGTAAATTATTACTATCATTATTATTATTAGAAAAGAATCTGTGCAATGCCATTGAGATTTAAAAATACTTGCCAATTTTTCCGGGCTTGGAGGCAATACACCTTCTTCGCACTCCAGCGTCACTTCTTCCACCTTTTGCTTTGGACTCATGTGGCTCTGCGGTGAAGGGGGAAAAAAAAAAGCTTGATCATGTTGACGAAAATTGGGAAGCACAAAATGAGTCCCGCACAAACCACACATGATGTGTGTAGTTTGCCAAGGGAGCTTGTCTGGGCCGAACAGGACTACGACAAACCTCACACGGTGTGTGCACTTTGTGCCGGATTGAGGCATGGTTTTCTGGGCTTGCCGCCCCAACTTCTTGCGTTCACGGCACTCACAAAAACCCCTGCAAACTTCTCTTTCGAGGTTAGCGAGCACACTTCGCTCTGGCCCGCTGTGTGACTCCAATAAAGTGAGCAGTCGCGTGGTTCTGTGCTGTATCAGGAACGACTAATCAAGACCATTATGGCAAGCAGTCGAATATCACTTTATTGTCTTCTCCTAATAGTCTACATACGTCTCATGGTGACATATCCCGATACACCCCCTTTCTTTACTGAGTGAGCAAGAATGCCGGACTTGCAGGCACATGAAATCTGTTAAATGTACTTCAATTGCACTGAGGTGCAAACAGGAATGCCAGTGTGGTGTTCTTGCTGTCGCAGCATCACGTATGGTTCAGCTGCAGACGAAGTTGTCAGTGTTACCACAGTTCTCACAGCACTCTGCTGCAATGCCATAGGTAAAGTTCGCCCTTCAGTGTCATTATTAGACTCCTCAGTCCCCTGTGACCGGTTCTGAGTATCGAAGTCTTCAGAGGAGGGGAGAAGGTGCTTGCTATTTCTTTGGAGATTACGCCCGTCCATGGCAGTGACCTTGTAAGATCTCGGTGCTACTGATGTCTCGACTTGAGCTTTCAGAGTCCAACCGTCATCGTGTGATATGCTGACATCTCCAGGTTGCAACAATGAGAAGTTTCATCCATTGATTTTGCTCTGTTTATGTTTCTGGACACAATCATAGCGGTTCTTTGTGAAGTTAGGTATCCTGAAAGGGATCCGGTGACTCATTAGAAGTTTGCTAGGTGACTTTCCTTCTTCTAATCATGAGGATCTGTAATTTAACAAACCCAGGTAGAAATTTTGGTTTGCGTGATTGGTTTTCTTAAGTAACCTCTTTATAACTTGTACGCCCTTTTCAGACAGGCCGTTGGACTGAGGTCACGTGCTCAAACTTATACTTCGAGGCGAACACTCTAAATTCTCGTGAGACAAACTGTGGCCTGTTACTGAAAAGTTTGCTGACTACGGTGGTTGCAGTTGTATCGGGTGGAACCTCTACTTCTGGAAAGTTTGAGCATGCATCGAAGGCCACAAGGTTTGGTCTTTGAGCATACTGGCAGAGGTCTACTCCCACACGTTCCCATGGTTGGCTCGGTGTAGGTCGCATCATGAGTGCTTCTTTTGGCTGGCGATTTGCATAATGTTTGCATGTCTTGCAGCGGCCGATCATTTTGTGGATCTCAAACGTCATTTCAATAACATCAACGTTTTTGCCTTTTCTTTACATTTGGCGACACCAAGGTGCCCTGCGTGTACTCTTTGAGCCTTTCTTTTTGGAGTGTCCTAGGAATGATAACTTTCGATCCTTTCAGCAGTACACCGTTTACCATGGATTGTTCTGTAGCAAAAGGTTTGAACGGTCCGTCAATTCGCTGATGGGCTTCTAGCGCTTTTGCGGTACAGTGTAGTCCCTCATAATCTTGAGCTGTAAAAACTAAATGATTAAGTGTCTGCTTGCTCACTAGAATTGAAAAAACGGAAACTGCGTGGACTTCAACGTCTCAGTCTTCGACCTGTTCGGTTTTGGTTTTTTGGATGGGCGCTTTTGGAAGTCCATTTGTAAGAAGCAGTTGTTTGCCAGGAACAAACTGAAACTCGCAATCGTACCTCATGAGTAGAATAAAAATTGAGAGCCCTTCCACCCCGTGAAGAGGGAAGTCCAGCAAAGCTGGCTCTCTCGTGGAATTTGCTATGTCGGGCTGGGAGCAGTGGCAACGGCGGTTTCATGTTGGCGGCGTGCCCATTCTCGCTTCTGGGAGCACCGACGCTCCTCATACTACCGCTACTCCTCTTTGGAATGTGCAACACGAGTGCAACCGATGTGAAGTCTGAAATCCAACTGATAAGGACAGTGGTGCGAACTTTGACAGGTGGCCGCCGAAAAGCGCGTGGCATTGCGCAATGTCACGGGGGAGAGAGAAGCAACGCGCAGGAAAAGCGCACGCGTGCGGCACCGGTGTCTGCAGCATGGACTGTTCTAAAGCAAAAGCCTAAAACAAATGGCATCTTGCACGCACGTTTGCCAACGCTTTATTTTGGTTATTTATTTTTAATATTTTATACGGGGAAGGTGTGAGCATGCGGCGCCGGCACCTGCAGCATTAACTGTACAAAATTGTTAGTCTACGCTCGGTCTGACCCCAGAGACGATCAGCCAGAACCTAGCCATAGACAGCTTCGCTGTAAAAAAACAAAACGCTGCAGTTTTAAAGGCATGTTTCCTACGCTCTTCTTGGAAAAGGTATAAGTGGTTTGTGATCAGTTTCTACTATCACCTTTTCCATAGGTAAAATCATAAAGTCGTTCACACCCGTAGGTGTTGCAAAGCACGTCCTTATCAATATAAGAGTATCTTGTCTAGCTGTCTGTGAGTACTCTTGTGTCATAAGCCACTGGATGCCATTCGTTTCCGTGCTGCTGGAGTAACGCTGCTCCCAAGCCGTATTTAGAAGCGTTCGTAGACACCTTAATTGCAAGGGATTGGTCGAAGAAAGCAAGCACTGGCGCTGCAGTGAGCGACACTTTGATCTCTCGCCATTCCTTGTCATGAGCCGGTGTCCACTCACAGATGGAAGAATCCTCTAGTAGATCTTGTAACTTGTTGGTCTTGTCTGAAAGTCGAGGCGGGTAGGTATTTTCCAAAGTAGGTGACGACACCCATTATCTGTTGAATTCCTTTTTTGGTTGTCGGAGCAGGCATCTGTAGAACACTTTTAACGAACTCAGGATCAGGCTGCATCCCGTCTTTGGGCACCATGTCACCCAAAAAGATGACCTCTGTGACGCAAGACTGGCACTTTTTTGCATTTAATGCCATGCCTCCGTTTCGAGCCACTTCAAGAGCTCTTTAGAGTCATTTATCATACTCCCCATGCGTGGCAGCCCAAATGAGGATATTGTCTAAGTAAACTCGAACGCACAGTAGGTCGTCGAAGATCCGTGTCACTGCCTCCCGAAAGACCTCCGGTGCAGACGAAATTCCGAACGGAAGACGCTTGAAGCGGTATCGCCCAAACAGAGTGCTGAATGTGCAGATGTGCGACGTTTCTTTATCCAGGGGGAACTGGTGGAAGCCCACGATGGTGTCTAACCTGGAGAAAAATAGTGCACCAGCCAGCTCCGCCTCAATGTCTTCCCTTCTTGGCATTTCATATTGCTCGCGCTTCAGGCTTTCGTTGAAGAATCTGGGATTCATACACACTTGTAGTTTGTTGTCCTTCTCCTGAATGACAACGAGCAGGCTGACCCAGTCTGATGGTTCTTCCATCCTGATTATTATTCTAGACTGTTCCATTCTGTTTAGTTCTTTCAGAGGTTCCTCGGGCAGCTGTGGTACTCGGCGAGCTGCTTGGATGACTGGTTAAATTCCGTTTTTCAGAACCATCCTGTACTCTTTAGCGGTACATCTGATACCCTCAAACAACTTGGGAGATTTTTCTATGATCGAATTTGCATGGCCCTTGGCACCTTTCACGGTGTTGACATGGTTGGTTAGCCCAAATGACTCACATGCCTTGAGTCCGAGAAGAGCCCGACTTGCATTCTTGACGATGAGGAAGTCTAGCATTGCTTCTGTCCCACTGACTTTGACTTGCAGTTCTTTTATTCCAATGTGTCCAATGACTCCTCCACTGTAGTTTTTCAGTACAGCCTTTGACGGTTTCGGCACACTCGTTCCCCTTAGTTTCCTGAAAGTCGATAGCGGTAGAAGGTTGGCTTGGGAATCCGTGTCAACATTCAGTTGAACTTCTTTGCCAGAAACGGTCACTGGTATTATCCAGTCAGCACTGCCACTTCCAATCTCCAAAACTGAAAAATCGTCTTGGTTATATACTGTCTTCTTGGATTTGCGACAAGCCGAGAAGTGATTCTTTTTGTTACGTACGTGGCATGTTTTGCCGTATGCTGGACATTTCCGTGGTTTGTGATGCATGTTGCATTTTCCACATCTTTTGGTATTGGAGCAAGCTTGCATTTTCCGCTTGGAAACAGGAGCTACGCTCCTTTCTGGGTTGTCCCGCGTCTTCTGCCTTTCTTTGGCTACCTCTGCCACTTTGGAGAACGTGACTGCCTTTTCCAAGGTTAGGTCGTCTTCTCGAAGGAGCTTTTCTCGTAATCGCTTCTCAGTGACGTCGTACACAATTTGGTCTCGAATCATGAAATCGGACAGCTGTTCAAAGTTGCACGATTAGGCCTTCAGCTTCACTTCTCGATAAAAGTTTTGAATGGCTCACCTTCCGCTTGCATTTGTGTCCTGAATTTATAGCGCTCGTAGGTCTCACTACATCTAGGAGTGCAATATTCCTCGAACTTCATAATAAGGACGATATAGCTTGCCCTTTCTTCTTCCGTCAGCTCAAAGGTGTCGAAGACTTTGATGGCTTCAACACCGGCTACATGGAGGAAGAGCGCTGCCTTCTGTTTTTTGGTGCCTGCCTTGGCTGGCTCGGTGGCGGCCAGCTAGAGCTTCAGGCGTTGCTCAAACTTGCGCCAACTGTCGGCTACGTTTCCGGAGAGCAGCAAACCATGAGGTGGATGAAGTCCTTCCACGTACAGATGAAGGAAGAGCAACTTCTGACACCGTATATCAGGAACGATTAGTCAAGGCCATCATGGCGAGCAGTGGAATATCACTTTATTGTCTTCTCGTACAAGTCCATATACATCTCGTGGTGACATATCTCGATACACTTGCGACACCGCCCTGTCTAACAGGGCCTTACTCGGCTATTCTCCGCTTTTTATTCTTGACGGAGCTGTAGACGTGGCTCAGTGGTTATAATACCCAACAGCCGCCTTGCCGACCCAGATGCGAGCCCCGCAGGGGTGTCCTGACTCTAAACTTTGTACCCACAACTTCGCGTAACAATCCCAGCATGTCGGTCGTTCACGACGCTTGGTCGTAACACTCGTGCCATGATGGTTCTTCATGACAATACTCCGTAATAATTTTCTCATAAAATTCGGCTTATAGAACACAATTTGTGTTAAACCACTAAATTCAAGACCTGCGCAATAAAAAGGGACACACACGGATGCATGTCTGCACCATACCGACCAGTGTATCCTTGCACCAGCGTTTCTTACAGTTCAAAAAGCTTGTCTATGCCTCCTTTCCCTTCAAATTTACAACTTTAAAGAGGCTGCACAACAATATAATGTAGGAATGTCCTTCGCTTCACATAAGCTTATTGGCACTACTGGGACCCAAGCCTACTCACACAGAATGCCACTGACCAAGAAGGTTATTTGTCGCCACGTAAATTCAAGGAGGAAATCTGACGTTTTCTTTCAGTCCCTTCTTTGTGAGACTTGATGACAATGTTGTGGGGATCAGACTGCTGGCATAGTCAACAAAGCGATCCCCAGGATCTCGTCCCCAAGCTTTACGATCTCCGCAGTGACACTATTTAAATGCAGCTCATACAGTGGACACGAGCACCGCACGAGCCTTCAATTTCGGCTCTTCCCAATCAATGCCTCGACAGGCATTTGGCTAGTGGCTCGTGACCGATCGCTGCGATGACAGGATTAGCAGAACCTTAACAACGCGTGAAACTCGGCACGTGCGCAGTGCTCTGCCGACCTCAGCGAGTGCAGCATATGATCATTTCAAATCACATGGCTGCTTTTGGTTGCCAGTTGAGGGGGCTGCTTGTTTTTCTAGAATTTTTTCTACATTGTGAGGAGAAAAAAACAAATGTGTGTTTCAAAGGTTATGAATCTCAAGGAATAATTCTAAACAGTATTTACAGAAAATACAAAAATAGTTGTTAGGGGGATCGGTAGCCGAGTGGGCTAGCGCACACCAGCTCTAAGCAAGTGGAGCCAAAGCTCCTGCTGCAGCACCCAGGGATCCTGGGTTCAATCCCCACCCTTGTCCATTTCGATCTGGATGAGCATTGTATTGGCATGCGGTCATGTGTCATACTGCATAGTGCACGTTAGAAACTCCAGCTGCCAGTTGGGGCAGACAAACTTCATGCTGTATAAACATATACATAAACACAACACAGAAAAATTGTTGCATTGGTCCCTTTAATTCTGTTTCTGTTATAAAAAATTTACCCTTTGTTCATCAGTTTACAGATGGTGTAGTCCATTGTCTGAACTCAGTCAACACAGACCTGCTACGTTCCTACAGCGAGTTTCCATGTTTGTTCCTACATAGAATTCCCATGTCATCCAGCATGATATCTTTCCCTGGCAATTTTGTTTCAGTTTGGACATTCAACCGAACTCACCAGGGGCGATGACGGTGCGATGGCATGTGCTCCTGATCCAAACCATTCCGCAGACGATGAGGGGGAGAAGTGGCTGTTGCGCACGGCTTCCTCCATCTTGGCAGTCTCCTTGGACATGGCAACAACTTTCTGCAATAGACAGTCAACTCTGCTTGCTCATTCCATCCAATTTTTCTTTAATCCTGCAGTTAACACTTAATCAAAACTCTTAGGTATTGAAAAAAGGCTTGAGCACTCACCAGGAGTTCGAGCTTCTGTTCTTTCGTCATGTCCTCTTCCCAGAGCCCGAGTGCTACAAAATAATGGTGCATAATCACATCTGAACAGAAGCACAAGCACACAGATAAACAAGTGTTGAGGCCAAAAACTCTGTGAACTTGAGGAGGCATGGCACTTAACACTCTATATGCATTTAATACATACCTATCAAAGATTAGCACAGAATCCTTATTGTTATGAAAAACAGAAACGACTTGGTCACAATTTTCAAGTGAACACAAAATTTATGTTTATATCCGTAACTCAAGTTTTCATACCTTTCTACTTAGTAATGTCAATGCACCCCCTTGTAACATTGCAGATGGCCCCCCTCAAGACAAGTTCCGTACATAGGCAGTCCCAGTGAACATGCTCTATTTGATATTAAAGGGCAACTCCAGTCAATTCCAAGAAATTTGAGTTAATGGTTGATTATATATCACAAGGTAGTAATAAACGGTTTTACATGATTTCTTTTTGAAAAAACTTTCAGCCTTTCCACTCTGGTGAAGAAGGAAGACCAGCGAAGCTTTGCTATGGTCAGACGTCAAGGACGACTTCTTGGACGACTTTAAGGACGACATTTAGGACAAGGTTTAGGACGACCTCAAGGACGATGTCTAGGACGACCTCAAGGACGACTTCTAAGGCGACCTCGAGGACGACGCCTAGAGGACGACATCGGGGACGACATCTAGACGACCTCAAGGACGACGCCTCGGACGACCTCAGGGACGACATCTAGGATGACCTCAAGGAGGACTTCTAGGACGATTTCGAAGACAACATCTAGGACGACCTCAAGGATGACTTCTGGGACGATTTCGAGGACGACCTCAAGAATGACTTCTAGTACGACCTCGAGAACCTCTCGGACGACATCAAGGACGACCTCAAGGACGACTTCTATAACGACCTCAAGGACAACTTCTAGGACAACCTTGAGGACAACTTTTTGGACAACCTTAAGGACAACCTCAAGGACGATGTTTAGGACAACACCAAGAACGACTTCTAGGATGACCTCGAGGACAACACCTAGAGGAATTCAGCCTTTCCACTCTGGTGAAAACCAGAGTGGAAAGGCTGGAAAGGTTGTCGCCATCTATGAGCAAGGCCGGCAAGCCGATTGCCTGGTTGCCGCCGCCGCTCATAGATGGCGGTAGCTGTCCAGAGTTTTGTGTCGACATTCTTTGCGGGGGACATGATCCTGGGGAAACTTGCCCTTAACAGCTCCGCTGTAAATGTGTAATATCTTCTGCGTAGTCTGCATTCAAAGCTTGCCAGAAACCAAAACCAAGACCTCGCCTGCGGCGGGCAGCACTGCTCCTTTGTCGCCACTTACATGCCCTAACCATGTGGTACAAATAGTGACATCGCGTACCAGGCGGCCGGCTGCAGTTCGGCGCAAGGGCGGAAGTGTCGCCTGCTACAATCGGTGGTCTGCTACTCCCGACGATGCCTACACTACCGTGAACGCAGCTTGTGCTTTAGTGCAGAAATTGGTTCAAAACAAGAGCTTGTTTTAAAAACATTAATAGAAAGTGAAGCTCAGTAAACCGCACGTAAATATGTCGCGACAGGTTCGTAGAGCTATGACGTGCTCAATGCCGCAAACTTGCTCTCTCGCACGCGACGGGTGCTGCCGGCGATGATGCACGCTTGCATAGGAGCACACAGGCGCATCACGTGGCCGACGATGAGCGCAATGCTAGCACTGCCTTTGCTTGAAAAAGTACAAAACAAGCAAACAAATCTCCCCGAGCATGACGTAGGTAGTGCAGGGTGGGCTGCACCGACACAGTAGTATTGACTGCGCCGTTGGCTACACCAAGCCTTGTCCGCTAGGTTTAGCAGATCTTGGTAATTTCGCTCACTTCCAACTTTGTTTTCCAGTTTCATTAGCTTTTAGGCAGAATAAAATTGAAATATTTGTTGGGTGTTGTTGTTTGTTTTGTTTTTTTTGCAACACTAAAGAGAACTTTATTGTATTTTTTTTAATATTGAAAATAAATGTGAACTGGAGTTGCCCTTTAAAGGGGTCGTGAAAAGTTTTAAAAAAATTCTGAGCTATATATCTATTTGGAATCCTTGTTCTTTATTACATAACACACGTTCATTTGTTTGATTGCCAGAATTAATTTACTAGCGTAAAAAATACTCTTTCAGTTTCCTGGGGAGCTTCTTTCTCGGTTTTACAAATATGTCACGAAAAGTAACCAATAGAAAATTTTAGTTGCCTGAGCAAGATGGCGATGTAGACTGGACTTGGGAAAGTCAGAGCATCACACATCGCTCCAACAGCAGCACCACAATGACATCACGCATGCAAGTCAACGGGTGACATCTGACAGAAGGTATTATGCTCAGACAACTGCAAGACAGCCAATTTAATTGAGCTCTAGCATCGCTTATTACATCGCGGTTGGCTTTTAGGTTTCGAGCCATACGCTGACACCATATGTAGTTTGTGCTACCGTCTGTCATGCTACAGAGGAGAGTTTGAGGGAATCGTTCGCGATTTCGATTGGTCAAGCCGCATTCCAATACGATCGTCAAATAACGAGCCGCAAATATGTCCTCGCTTTGACCAGAAAATTGCTGATCTGCTCGCAGTGAAAGGACGAAAGGGCTGGAAATACAAGCAAAATTAATCGCTTTTGCATACTTGAAGAATGGCTTGTCAAGTTACTGCTGAGGGAGATCGTAATAAAGGAAAATGATGAGGAAACTCCAACTGCTAAAATGTCCTAGCACATCTGCAAAAATAAGCGACTCAAGACGAATGTGCTGATAGTTCAAAGGTTATGCGTGCACCACTTTTGCGAAGTTTTGAGTTTGAGTCCTCCTGGGATTATAATTTTTTAATGCTTTGCTTTATTATTAATATAATTCTAATCCACAATCAGGTTCCACAACTGTATTCCATAAGAAATGCGAGCTGCGGCAGAACAAGCATCATGGTTACGATGGTTACCAAAAAAGGGAGGACCCAAATGTGTTTGAAACCGAAACTATATCGCAATCACAAGAATGCCAATAAATAACCCGATGTTTTGATCAGTCTAAAATTATCATTTGATGGAGAAATAAAGTTGAATATCTGTCCAACCTTTCTACTTGGCTATCGCGATGTTTTGTTGCTCATGCTGCTGTAGGGTGTTGCATGGATGTTTCACGCAGTCCAAAAAACCTCGATTTTTAGATGCTCCTTAGAAAATGCAATGCAATATGTCACCGTAATACGTAGGAATCAAAGTCTTTGTAGTTTAATGTACTATCAGAAACAATACGAGCGTGAACGCGCCTCCGCGTGTCGCCGCTACCTGAGGCGCCTCCCTGCGGCGCCGTTGTGAAGTTTTGCGCATGCGTGTAGAAATCCTGTCGCTGTTCTCGCTTTGACTGTTAACCCCCGTCTGTCGTCTGCTATGCGCGCGCTGGCGGCCGCTCGCGCTGTCGTCTGCTATGCGACTCGTGTATTTCCGTCACAACTCAGACAAACGACTTAACATGATTCACGAGTTTCCTGTGCGATAACGCAATGCCTACATTTGATACGTGATAAGTAGCTGGCTTCTTTCATGGGGTCGAGATACAGCGACAACAGACAAATAGAATAAAGACAAAATATCTGCAAAGCTTAGCGTTCAACTACGGTGAGCCCGGAAAACATTCAGTGTAGTGAAAAATGGCTAGAGTTCCTGACTACGAACGGATCAACATAGTTGAGCTGTCCCTCCGAGGCTACTCTCAGAGGGCTATATCCATCATGGCTGGAAGACCGCTGAAAACGGTGAACTGGATAATACAAGCATAAAGGAACGAGCTGTCCAGGGCAAACACAACTCGCGTAGAAAGCGCGTGTGTCCGCCGGAGCACGCAACGTTGTGCGGCAGACGACAACACGAGCGGACACCAGCGTGAATACAAGTCGCATAGGAGACGACAGCGTGAGCGGCCGCCAGCGCACACAGGAGTCACATAGCAGACGACAGCACGAGCGGACGCCAGCGCGAACACGAGTCGCATAGGCGACGACAGCGTGAGCAACCGCCAGCGCGCACAGGAGTCGCATAGCAGACGACAGCACGAGCGGCCACCAGCGCGCGCATAGCAGACGGCAGACGGGGGTTGGCAGTCAAAGCGAGAACAGCGACAGGATTTCTACACGCATGCGCAAAACTTCACAACGGCGCCGCAGGGCGGCGCCTCAGGTAGCGGCGACACGTGGAGGCGCGTTCACGCTGATACTGTTTCTTATGACACAAACAAGCCAAACCCACATCTGTGGGCAATGCTTCTGCAGGTCTTCAGCAACTTGGTACAGTTGATTCTCTTTATAACAAACATTGATAAAGCGAATTATCGGATATAGCAAACTAATCACGAAGTTTGGTTGGTCATGCTTTATTTGAATGGGAGTTCTAATTATATAACGAAACCGAAACCGTGAAATCTGATGCGCTATCGGTTATAGCGAAGCAATTCCTGATTTTCTTGTGCCACAAAATACTACGAAGATTATTGAAAAGTAAAAAAAAAATACAAAAAGTAATTTCTAAATGAAAAATTCCGAAAGTTTAGACCGCCCGATGTGCAAAAATGCACTTTTAGGGAGGTAGCGCCACCTATGAACCAGGCGAATAATGGCGGTTGCGCAGCTCCTGGCTTTTATGCGAGGCATCAAGAACCAGTGCAGACTAAAGCCAACCGCCAACCACGACACTCGTAGCGGAGCTGAAAATGGCGACGAAGCGAAAAGCTCTCCCTGAAGACGAAAGTTAAGGCAGGCTGTGGACAGCAGTCGAAAGAAAAAAGACATCACTGCGGACTTCGTGATTGCACCTAGCACGATATCTACCATCCCGAGTGCAAGGAAGAAGATTGAAGTCTGCTATGCAAACAACACCGTCAAGACTGACCGACGACTGACTGACAGACGAAAGCAATCAGTCCGGCACGTCTGTTAGGGCATGATGATTTCAGCGCGAGCAGCGGTTGGCTCCAGCATGGTGGCCAAGGTGAAGAAACACCAGCCCAGAATGACGTCTTCAAATAAATGGAATAATACATCCAGCTAACGTTGTTTCTTGTGTTGCAAATTGATATCCTCATGCTCCGATTTATTTAATACTGCTTAGTGACAGGTATGGGTCTCGTGGTCCGCGATAGCGCGTTTTTATATCTTAGTGCTGTGCAAGTTCTTGCATGGGCTCGATTGCGGGAACGTTTGCATCACTTTTTGTGTGTACTTTTATAACGAATATCGCATATAGCAAACAAATCTCTGCTCCCAATGCTAGTTCGTTACGAGGTTCGACTGTATAACAACTTTCACACTATAAAGGCAGGTTTACCAGTGTAATGGTAAGCCTGCCTCTATTATCACTCATTTGGTAAAGAATGCACTTAAATAAATAATTTAGAGGAGCGATCAACAGTGTCATTTGTACAAAGGAAGATTCCTGTCATATTGGGGTGTTGTAGGGAGCATTTTCTTCACCTGATGAGTTCAGCAGCTTCATCATCAAATGTCACAGTCAGTGACGACCCGAGGTGTTTCACTTTTCAAAACAGGTGATTTTAGAGAGATTGGCATGAAGGATGATTGGCTACATTTAACCGGGTGGTTCAATATTTCACGTCTCATGTTTGTGCTCAAGCATCTTTACCCTCTTTGTAATATTTTTTTTTTCTGTGATGAGTGTTGTCAAAAATCAATTAACGTACGCAACATCAGATCAGTCTCACGGTCTCCGCTTTCAGAAAAGTGGACAACTCCCACAGCCTAACTCTATTGGGCCCGCAGCCCTGCCAGAAACACAAAGCGGAGGCTAACCCAAAGAACATATTACGAAACTGCCTGACGTACCTTGCAACTCCTCGTCCACTTTTGTTTTCTTTTTTTCCTCCCTGTGATCGTAACGAGATGCTCGCGTGTTGTTATAGTGTCTGGAGCCCCCAACATCATCTGGCTGTGGCGTGGGGCCCAGCTGCAATGCAAACAGCAAATCAGCATGCCTTCACAAAACAAGAAGCCCCAAATTCTTCTTAACATTCACCCCAGAAAGCACAGGGTTCTGAACTTCCTTTCTCTTGAACGAAGACAGCACCAGGTTCAAAACAGCACAGTCAAACAAAACAGCATGGCAAAGCAGCAACAAGCTGCTTAACCATCATCTTCAGAGATTGACACCCGGGTCTGCAAGCACTGTGCAACACGAAAAAGCACTACCTGATAAACTTTTGGTTAATAAATTAAAATAAAGTAACATGCTTGGTTGATTTCTTCTTTTTAAAATATGAATTCTGAATATTAATACTTAATCTCTTTTAATAAAACTTTTATTTATTTATTTTTTGCTGATTTTTATGTTTGGTGAAATCTGGAGAAACTGCCATGAGATTCTGGTATTGCAACCACTTTCCAATCTGGCAATACTGCTAAAAAGCTGCGAGTCTGAGCTGGTAGCCACGCAAAAAGGCACTCATGCAGGTGGGACTGGTCAAATATAAGTCCACACTTTCCATTTCCGAAGAAATGCAGATAGTGTCCCTTGACAGACTTGACTCACATACAGGTCAAAAGGAGATAACAGGCACAATAAAGTTTGAAATTATGTCACATGACACATCAAAAGGTCATCCTCACAACGAGGACAGAGTCGCCCACAAGAGACGTCACCTCAAAGCTCGCTCGGGGTTCTTGAGCTGCCTTCTGGGGCGTCGGAGGCCTAGCTTCTTCCGACAAAGAGAGGAGTTCTTCATCTGCTTCTTCAGCCATCACAGCAACCTCGCTGCACATCAACAAGAAACTATTAAGATCCTATGGCTGCCCTTAAATTTCTAGCCATGTAATCTTTCCTTTGGAATTGCACTGTCCTCAGACACTCTCTCATGGTGCTGTTAAAGCTACATTATCCACCACACGTTCCCGTGTCAACTCCAAATATTTTTCGCGTTTAAACTTCTCAAATGCCAGGAATTGTAGTATAATCCAACTAATGGCTATCCACAACGCGTGAATGAGCCGTAGGCGCACTTTCGCTTACGCTGCTGAATCCTATACTCGAGGCTTCCAGGAATGTGCTGAGGAGCAATGCGCAGACCACCGGATCTATAAAGTCTCCCTGAATAAAACGTGTCGTCTACTATCTTACCAACAACACTGTAGCTTAAGACCAAACTGCACATTATAAAATGAGGATCTTATTGAGATACACCTGACTCTGTACGCTAGAACAAAGCCTGTATGCCTTTTAGCATGTCGCGCAATACATTCTTAGCAACGGCAGCTAAAGTAACCCAAGGCATAGTCATGCACATCTCAAGAACTCAAGGAGTTTGCTGTGTCCAAGACTCTGGAATAATCTCTTAGTGTGCACAGTGCTACGTGCCATGAACACAACATAAAGTAACTTAAAGGGCCCCTAAAAAAAAAAACTTTTTTTTTTTCTATAAATTTGGTTTCTATAAATAAAAAGTAAGCTTAATACGAAAAAAAAAAAAAAAAAAAAAAAAACATTTTAGAGCTATATTGATGGCGAAAGATTTATTTGAAATTCTGCGCACAAGGTCCATGATGTCATAGAATGGTCCTTCACCCTTTCAAACTCAACGAGATAGCATGCACTTTTTCCACCTCAAAGTGAAGGCGAAACCGATCCACCACTCCTCCACGCGCCCGAAATGCCGAGAGAAAACAAATGGAAAGGAGGTGACTACCAACTAAATCGCATCTCGCGCCGTCAATATTGCTCTAAACTTTTTTTTCTTTTTTGCGTAAAATTAATTTTTTGACACGCCTGTATTAACCAGGTTGTTAAAAAAAAATGTTTTCTTTTCTTTTTAGGGACGCTTTAATGGGGCCCTGCAATCATATTTAAGCGTCTAGCTTTTTTGTGGCTTCCATGTCAAAAAGGGGAAGCAAGAGAGCAGGAAGACAGTAACTAAATATCAATGTGTCATATTTTAACCGGACGACGTGGAAACCTCCTCCACCTACGGGGGCGACCCGCGGTGCCGAAAGCATGTGGTATGTGAGGTCTTTGGTGCTAGCCTTACTACTGGTCAGAGCCACTAAAAGCTTTTTTTTAGTTGAAATACAAATATAGAGTGCAAACCGTTTCAATTATTTATGAAAGTAGTTTTTGTTCAGTATTTTAGATCAGAAAAAAGCAAATGCAGTTTATAAAGTACAGAAACAAGAAATGACTCGTCGATATACCCGCCACCAAGCGGTGGAAGAGGCGACGCATACTAGAAAGGGGTATAGTGGGATCAGGCACCGATGAGCGGCGAGCGTAGAAAGGTACCAGATGTATGTTGCGGCGCTGCAGTCATATACGGGCTCGAAAATTAGACCGGTTCCAAGCATTCCGAATGCCTTTGGCGCAGGTTTGGCTTGCGATTTGGTTGTTTAGCGGTATGACAGCGCGAGGTGGCTCCCGTTCTGAACTGATCTTTACCAAGTGTTCGCTGTCGTTTGTGGCCAATGAAGTGTCATGCCGAATTAGTCTTTAATCGCGCAGCAAATGCAATGCGAGCCGCCATGGCTGCCCGCTTCACACAGCCTATCCACCACATGCTTTAGTGGCGCCCTCTCGAGCCGTCGACACGGAGTGCAACAGCCGTGAGCACTCGCAGAGCTTACTACCCCTCCTCTAGTTCACAGCCACTCAAGCCACAACCAACGACATCATGAAGGAGGTTATTTTTTGCTTGCTTTTGTAATTTTAATTTGCCTATAACTTTTAAAATAAAGCAAAATTCGAGAAAAGAAAAGTTTCATTAAGTTATTACGTTCAGTGCGCTCAGGTTCGGTGCAAGTTAAAAACCAGTCAAAAAGTTGTTGCAGGGCCCCTTTAAGGCAGTGATTCGTCGATTTCAAGAAAATGTAATGAAAATGCAGGCAGATTCATTGTCAGTGACAAACTGGAGTGTCAAGGAAAATTAACCTTTTCCAAGAAGAGTTCTGCATATGCACCCGCTATCTTCAAACAGCAGCAAAAGCTTAAAAATTTTGGTCAGTGTTCAGAAGTGGAAGTGGCAAAAGCTCCGTGGAGAGATGAGCAAACGTGCTTGTCTCCTTTGCATCTTATGTGTCACCTATATGTTTTCAAATGAATGCTACATTATTACGGACCAGGGTTGGGCAGTATCGCGATACAAATGTATCGCGATAGTATTTTAGAAATACATTTCGTATCCGTATTTCTGTATCGCGATACATTTTTTGCACCAGTATCTGTATTCCTGTATCAAAATACATTTGGAATGTTTCTTTGTATCACGATACAATCAGGATGAAATGTATTTCGTTACATTTCTTGAGAAACACTCCCCCCCCCCCCCCCCCCCCCCCCCCGAAAAAAAAAAAAAAAGTGTGAACCCCCCTTTTTTTTATTTCTGAGGGCACCAAAGTCAAGGAAATGCTGGGGCATTGTTACTATGCTGATCAAGTTTCCTTTTGATTCTGCAAACTATTTTTCTATGTGTCCTCTTCTCTCTTCTGAGAAGTGTTGCGCAGTCGGAAACTCGAACCAGGTGGCGTGCCAGGAGTGGAGTCAGAGCATCTTCTGCCGCAGGTCCTCAGGTAGGGATTTCTTCAGTCATTGTTTGCTGGCATCCAATGCCCGCTGCTAACCGTCTCTCTCGCCTTAGCGTACAGAGTACACCCAGCCGGCAAAGCTGAGTCACATTCCGTTGCAGCACGAGCCTGGTGGTGGTTGACTTGATATAGCAGGAAGACTCACGCTGTAAAGTTCAACATATATTCGAATGCATTTGGGGCTGCGCCCGTAACATTGCACGGCTCAAGGGTACGTCATCAGCCGACGTGAACGTGACCCGCTGCTCTGGTGATCCGAAACCCAGAAGGATGACAGAAGTGACCTCGCTGTGCTATCCCAGACTACGTTCCCGCGACTCGTCTCGAGACCGCCGTTTCTCGGACAGCTCGCACCTGTGCCGGAAATATCAGCTCGCTATCCACGAGGTCTTTGTTTGAATAATGCTAGGAAAAACTTGAGGACTGCAATCCGTGCGTTGGTGGCGGAGGGTCGGTAGTAAGGACCTTCAGAACAAGGATTCTACCGTATCGTTTTTTCAACCGTAACAGAAGATAAGACATGTATTCCAAGATGCTTCAGGTGGTCCACTATTCTCAAAAATTCCAAATGACACTGCATCCACGATCTTCAACTAGGTAACCTACAACGAAAGTATGTGTTGACCTTTCATACAGCAGCGTGGTAAAGTTTTATGTTCAAGGCCACACCTACAGATAAAGAATACTAGTTCATTCCACAGTGACATCATGTGATCAAGGTTGACAGGATTCCCTCGTCAGACAGACAGCGTGTCATGGTAGGGACCGCGGTCAGCCCTTGATGGAACGTTTTTTGGTGCCCATTGAAGACTCCTTGTCGTTCGAAACCACTACCTTCAAGGCAAAGTGCCAAGCCTACAGGAAAGTAATTTCAGGATCGAAAACATCCACTTCAAACTTCAAGCTTCATCTCAGTTGGCGTCTCAAAAAATGTGGAAAATGTATTCCACTATCAGTATTTCTGTATTTGTATTTCTGCCCTCCCTAAAATGTATTCCTGTATTTGTATTTCCAAATACTTTTTGCCTCTTTTTATAATGTATTTCAGATACGTATCACGATACATTTTTACAGATGTATCTTAGTATCAGTATTTTAGCTACAATTTTAATGTATCCCGGTATTTGTATTTCCAAATACATTTTTGAGTATTTCTGCCCAACCCTGTTACGGACAAAGCTGTCTTTAAAGAGTGTGTCTTACTAGATCCTAAAAAATTTTAGGGGAGCCTTTGGCAGACCTGATACAATTGAACCGAAGACCAGTATTATTACTAATTGACATGCCGACAGTTCATTCTTGCTTGCGTCGCTTCAATAACAATATTGTCTTTCTGCTTGCAGAAATAGCGTAAAGAAACTGGCAATTACGGTGAAACAATGGACTGCCGGCACATAGTTTAGGATCGTCTCCGCTGAGCTAGTTGGTGGAGCGAGTCATTGCACATTTGAAGGGATATAGAATTGAAACCTGAAATAGTGCCAAAACACTTCGAAACTAATGAAATATGATCCAGAGTATCCAAAAGTGATAATGAGTGAGTGAATGCATAAAGCACACGCGGGGATGCAGATGGCTATATTTTTCGTTCCAAGCAATGAATTCTGCCACGCGTTTCAAAATTGGCCACCGAAGCAGCGTGATGCGTCTCTGGATATTTGCCCGTGACGTCACACACGCAACGTCACGGACCCATAAACGGCCAAGGATACCGTAATTATGATCGTTGTCACTCGGTGATGCCAGCTTTATCGCCAACACGTTGCAATTCCGCCGAGTGGGAATACCCGAGGCATGGTGTACTAGAACTGAGATGTGCCAAGCACCACTCATTCCCAGGCAACTCAATCGGACACTGCTGCGCCGTGGCACTGCTACTGCTGGGTCTGTGACGTCAGACATTCCAATGAAGCTCGGCCCCCCCAATTATCAAAAGGTATTGGGAAATCGTTCTAAATGTGCTTATCTCACATTTACGGACAAAGGACTGGTGTTTGTGAACTGCTGTCGTAGGAGAGACCACGTCTACACAAAGAAAAGGGGACTAAAATTTCGTTTCCGTACTTCTCTAAAAAGGCTCGGCCGCATGCATCCATATGGCCCCACCAAGCAGTTTGTGTGCCAGCCACTAGGCTCTGCCTTTATGTGGAAAATGTTCATTCCCACCTGATTGCCACCAAAAAAAGAACGTCCTTACACCGCCGAGTAGAAGCCATTAATCCAATACTATCCTGTTCATATTAGGCAATGGTTTTATAGGCAAGCGCTCATATGCAACACAACGAAGTCTGAAGTTTCGTTTACTGTATTTAACCAACGACGCACGTAAGCGGTTATGATTTAAGAGCCGGTTCAACGAAGTCGGCTATCACTTAAAACTAATTTAAATGGCACTTCTATTATACGATTAAAAAAATATATTTATTTATTTAATTTCCCAACGCGGTGAACCTACAGCTGGCGCGCAATCTAATCAAGTCCTTACGTACCGGGTCCGTCGCTCGCGAGACGAGCGTCACATTTAGAACTACGCCGGCGGTGGGGGGGCAGCGAGCGTGAGAACGCATAAAGCACAAAGCCCGTCGGCTGACCAGCTGCATCGACGGTATATAATTCTGTCATGTACGATGAGTTACGGTAACCCAGGGGGGGCAGCTGTTGCAGACCCGCGAACAGCCCAATGGTCATGATACCGGCGATCGAGGAAGCAAGCTTGTACGAGTGAGCGTTAAGCGACACCTAATTAGGAATACTCAGGCACCGGGTGAGTGCACTGCTTACCTTTTAGACGAAGAGTAAAGGTACTTTGAGTTATTAATTACACTTTGTTGTCCGACTCGGTGGGAGCTCTCAGGAACCATGCATGCTTTGTACGGGACCTGTTTGATCGGTCTCGGCCGCGGTCCACGCAACAATGTGGCTAATACTTTTCTAAATACTTGCGTTGACACCTTAGAATGCGTACAAAAGCGTTCGCTCTTGCGGCTGTGTCACATAGCGGCTTTTAAATCGTGAACCCCACCTCCCTGACTGTATTCTACGACACCCGCACGCAAAAACAGGACGCCATCTGCACAATGTTGCCGTTGCCATTTGTTTGCCGACAACGTTACCGGCCGATCATGACCGGCTGCTTAGGTCAGTTTTTGTTCAGATTAAAAAACAAATTAAATGAACAGAATACCATCATAAACGTTTCGTGAAATCAGTTTTTTAAACAATCAGAGCACTTGCGCCTCTTTTCAATTTCAAAAATTAATCGCTAAACATAAAACTGCCGCGTAAATATTTCATTTTAGTTTTACTTTTTTTGTTGTTTTTTACTAATCTTTGTTGTAGAGTCTTGTGTACAAAGCCAGGTGCCCCCCCCCCCCCCCCCCCCCCCCCCCCCAAAACACACACTCCCGCTACAGTGTACCCGCGCAGATGCCCGCAGATCACAGAATAGCGACATGTTCGTTCTAACGAAGGCACGGGCGCGAGCGTAACTTTGGGTCTACGTTCGTTGGCTGTTACACGCGCGAGCTCCCTGAATCCGCGTCATGCTGCGTACAGTGTTTGTGTGTGTGTGTGTTGGGACCGGGGTGGGGGGTGGGTAGGAGGTTCAAAGTGAGGTCCCCTCCCCAAACCGGCTACGCGCATCATGCCTCGATGTGAGCACTAACCTGCTAACAGAACTAGGGAGGTCATTCAGACAGGTTTTAACTTTATGATGATAATGCAGTGAATGCAAAGGAGCGACCAGACGTTACTATAGACCCACTCAGTTGGAAAACTGCCATAAAGCCTGCTTAAAAAAAAAAAAAAAAAAAAAAAAAAAAAAAAAAAAGTGACTTTGATCCGTGTTTGAGGTTGGAGTTCGACCAGGTTCGACTGTTTCGAACTTTAGTGGAAAGTGCGACGAACCTTGTATTGAGGTTCGACTCGTGTGTACGTGCGCGACAGGCTGGTCAGTTGACTTCGGATTGGATGGTGATGGCTAAGGAATAAATTAAGGCAGCTCTGATTGGTTATTTTAGTTAATACTGTACAAAAAATTAAGTTATTAACTTCTTCAGTGATTATAATTGGTTTCTTTTAATTGCAACTGTTCATAAAATAAAATAACCTTTTGCATAAAAAAAAATTCTCCAAACCTAGACATGCTTGTATCAAGCTCTGGCCACATTGTCCACAAAGTCGAACCGGTCGAATTTGGTGAAAAGTTCGAAGGTTCGTCGAACCGGTCCGACCCAGTCGGACCCCGAAAGTTCGACCTAAAAATCCGGTTCGACAAAAGTTCGCGACACCCCTAGAGCTAATGTCGATCGCAACGCCGCCATTTCTCCCGCAGCGTCCACTCCGGGAACTACACGGCTGCACCTGCACGTAGAGTCAGGCTAGGGAGGCTGTAGTGAGGGTGGGCGCAACTCAAAACCTGGAGAGCGTTTGCAATTTAATGGCGGCGCCTGAGGGAGAGGATTCGGGAAAGGATATGCCCCAATGTTGCCTGCACGAGAGCAGGCGCCCGCTCTGTTGCAACTCTGTCGCTCCATGCGCCTTTCCTCCTCTCGCCTCCCATTGCAAGCAAAGAGCGCCTTGGCGCAGCCTCTCTCGCTTCTTTCTCGCTCCGAGAATTGCAAACGTCGAGCGGAGAAAGCAAAGTTGCCAGACAAGCAGCAACGTCCAAGATGGCGAAATATACCATTTTTCGCGTTAAAAAAATACTTAACCTATCGCAACAAAACTGGTGGCTATGGAAAAGTAATCATTTATACCTTGCGTAAATTATTCAAGCACCTTAATGGGCTCTTATGAACCGAGTTAGGAAAGAAAACGACCCTTTGCCCCATAGACTCCCAGCAAAATTTAGCAATTAAATGGCGTCCATGTCCCGTGATCGCCGATCTAGCAGTTGCACCCACCCTCACTTGAGCCTCCCTAAGTCAGGCAAGGGCCGGTGGCGCCATCTCGAAGGGCCATCTCGCAGTAGCTATGTAAAGCAACTTTCATGTTTCAACTCGTCGCTAAAGGCTGGCGCTGTTATCGTATTTAGCTCGGTCTCGGTAGACGCCAGCAGTCCAGGTTTCACGCGTGAGTTTCCCAACTGAGGGTTTTAGCAACGTTTATTGGCCCTGGAGAACGTTACTAGAACAACTCGGTTGAGAAGCTGCCATATCCTGCTCTGAAAAAGTGGTACGGATCCGCACACGAGGACGAACATCCAAAGCCTCTCGATGTGTTGGCGTTTGGAAGAACCCAGTGGAACAACCAAGGAAATTGGAACAACCGAACTAATGGCGATCGCTACGCTGCCATTTCTCCCACGGCGGCCACTCGGGGAAGTGCATGGCTGCTTGCATTAGTTCGGGAGTATCGTTCGGTAGCGTCCGCTGTGACAGCCTGACCTTGGAGGATTTCAGACCTCAAGGGCACCGCCATCTCAAAATACTGTCACTTCCAGTATGGGCCAAAACACTGTTTTGTCGTCGCCACGCAAATAGAATACATTTAAGATTTTAACCATTTTGTTCTTAGCCCGAGACTGAGGCAGGAAAAGAGGAAAGTTTCGAAGTAGAAGAAAAATGAACAGTCGAAGACACGTCTCTAACACAGCTAAAGACAAGTTTATTTGGTCACCTTCTTATATACACTCCACAAACTTCACCACAGCACCTTCCCGATCTCGAAAACCAAAAGATAACAAAGGTCTCACATCTTTCCACCACAATTGTCAAACGACCTTGACGTTTTCCACAAAGCAATGAACAATAGCTCCCCACATCCGGAAGACACTTGTCTGAATCCTTCGCGTACACAGTACACTCTCTCCCTCTACTCTCCGACCCATAATCACAAAGCATCCCGGTAACAGAAGATATCAATCCACGTGATACACAAAGGAAGAAACCACTTACACCTTCACATTCAACAAGCACTTCACAAAACTTTCAAATCCGCAAGAATGATTTTGTGCTGCTGCTAAGCTGTAACGACACCTGACTAATGCAGTTGCCCATTGATTTCATTCTTATTGTTTCTTTTACAACCCTTTTGATGTCGTTTAACTCCCTGTGTATTATCTCTGTTTCAAACCAGTGGGGTATACAATTGTTACATTCTTGAACATGTTTCGCTATTTCCGAATTGGCAACGTTGTTTTTGACATTCCTTTTGTGTTCAGTCAATCTGTCATTTATACACCTTGACGTCTGGAAAATCTGGAAAAATACACCTTGACGTCTGGATATGGAAAAGAAAACGCAAAATCGCTGCTGTCAAAAAAGAGTTGCCATTCAAAAACAGTGAAAGCGGGTATTGTAAAGTCTTTAATTACAAATGCAATGGAAAGATCATGTACACATTTCTTGAATGAATCGGTAGAAAGACAGTGGAGAAGGCTAAACGGTGCTGGTTATGAGGATGAATTCGTAAGGAAGCAGTTATCCGTAAAATTCGCAAACAAATGTACAGGAGAACCAAAGCAAAGGCCAAAAAATAGAACTATTGTAATTCCATTTTATCACAAAATTTCTCACAACTTAAAGGCTTGTGCCAAGAAGTTCAATGTAGATCTGCGGGCCAGATTCACGAAACGATCTTACGCCAAAAATGTGCGTAAGACAAAACTTAAGAACAAATCCGTATTCACGAAACGAAATTTTCGTAAGTTTTGCGCAGGTTACGACGAAATCCTACGACAGCTCCGAAGCTGTCTTACGCACTTCTTACGATCAAATCAGCATGGCCGACAGCGTCGCTCAGTTGGTCGCGGCAACCAACGGATGTTTATTTTTCTACGTGCGCTCCTCACGCGTCCCGACTTCAAGCAGCAAGAAACAAGTAAAAAGTACTTGAAACAGACCACGACGAACGAACAAGAACGCTGGATCCACGGACACCCGGGAAAAACTTCAAGGGCCACGAGTGCGGACTCCGACCGATCGGCAGATAGGCCTAGCAGGCACTCCGACTAGGCGCAGCGATGATCTGACGGTCCTTGGCGAAAACCGTCTGCCAACGACCAGCTGGCGTGCTGAATGGAATATGCCCGCGCGACCCATGTGAACCTTTCCCGTATTATAGTTTGATCGCTGACCTCAATTCTAGATTAAGAGGTCAATCTCTTCCTCTTGCCATCCCCTTGTTTTCCGAGGCAACGGTGACGAACGCTGTCGTCGAAAAGGGGCTCTCATCGATTCTATCTCTGTTTTGTGTGATATCAAGCTCAAATAAACGCCGTATGGATTACCTTCGCAACATGGTATGTACACTTTGTTATTAGTATTCCATTTTATTCTGACACGACTGCACCTCACTGTCGATCGCTGTAACAGTTCGTGGGTCGCAATGCCGGTCCAACCTTTCTTCGCCGGGTGTCACGTCAGCATCGAGTTGCAATTGTAAAGGATCGGTCCCGAAGCGCTTATCAATTCGCGGTCCAACAGCGCAAATCCAGCACTTCGGTCAAACGCGCGCGTCCGCTCTGTAGTGTGAACAGGCATTTACGTGGCTCTTGCTGACACTGTCGTAGTTCAGGCGTATCTTTTTTAACGTCGGCTCGCTCCTGCATTTCCGAGGCCGCAAAAAACGCCGCGGCAATTTGTTCCCATCTACGTCGCTTTGCAAACGACTGCGGGCCGTCTTTTACCAACGATGACAGTTGTGTTCACTTGGTAGCGATCGAGTTCGTAGCAGTCAATGGGGGTGGTTACGCATCCCGGCCTCGGCATTCGGGCGAGTTTAAATCGTGTTAGCGTCTCACTGCACGGATACGAACCCCAGACCAGCGGTGGCAGAAAGGCCGCCTGTGTTTGTTATGAAAAATCCACGTGCTCCGAACGGCTCCGAACGGTTCCGAACAAATGCCGAGCTCTCCGATTGGTTGTTCGTGCTGCCAAAGACGCCGTCGCCATAGCAACAGCACCGGTAAGTTTTAGTTTTTCCGTACGACAACGTCGCTTTCCTCCTCTCACTTAAGAACGCGTTCGTGAATACCGATTTCTCCTCTTCTTACGATGTTCTTAACTTACGAACTTCTTAGCTAAGTTGTCGTAAACTAAGAAGCTCTTCGTGAATCTGGCCGGAT